AGAAAAGAAATTGAAGTCATTGACGGGAAATGGATAGTTGATGGTTGAATTGAGGGTAATGGGAATGGGTCGGGTCAGTGCACAACCACCTGAATGGATAGTTGATGGTTGGTTTGAGGGTAATGGAAATAGAAATAGAAATGGGGATTGGGGTACAGTTCAAAAAAAACAGGTACAAAAACAACTCTGAAATCTGTTCTTCTAAAAAAGCTAAAACTTTAGATGAAGATTTTCCGTTCCGACAAATCCTTTCTTCACATTTTTCAAATTTTCCACCATGACAACTTGACGTTTAAAATTTTAGAGTCAATCAATCAACACTTTAAAGTTAAGCAAAGTGTCGATTGTTTGACTTAAGCAAAGTGTCGATTGTTTGACTCTAAAATTCTAAACTGAGCTAGATCTGTGACAACTTGAAACTTCAGAAGAACATTACTGTAAGATAGTATGCTCACGGCAGACTTAAACCATCACTTTCACAAGTCTAGCACAATCTAATTGCTGTTTGATAGACCAGGCATAAGTCCCTACCCTGGCCGCATTCGGATCGTGTCGGTGTAGCTCATTGGTAGCATTTTCGTCCGGCAAACGGATCGCAGGTTCGAATCCCGGCACGACCAATGACCCAACCCAACCTATAAAACGACTGTCCAACTGACCCAGCAAAGGTCAAACCAGCACCTTTCCTCTACAAGACTATTGACCCATAAATAAAGGACTATTGGCTTTAAAGCTATTTTTCTCAAACAGGTAGATAGAATTAGGCAAGAGCATCTCTCTACCTGTAGTAATCTTTTACCTTTTCAAATCCATTCTCTTATTTCTTCAAATCTAAAAGATCTAAAAGATTTGAAGAAATAAGAAAATGGAAAATGGAAAATGGAAAAGCAAGCAAAAAAAAAATCAATCCAAAAATCACCGAAAAGTCCAAAAGAGTTAACAGTTATTGATAAAGTCAAAAATCAAAAATCGAGTCACTAAAATCGAGTCTACCGCATACGAGAAGAGAGTGATTTTAGTGAAAAGATGATGGCAGTGAAGCTAATCAAGAAAAGGAAAAGGAAAAGGAAAAAGAAAAGAAAAAAGAAAAGAAAAAGGAAAAGGAAAAGGAAAAGAAATAGAAAAGAAATAGAAACGACCTTCAACTATAAAACATCTCAAGAAGGGGATCCAGAATTGATGTAAAGGAAAAGAATTTGACTGAAGAAAAAAGAAGATGAATGAAAGATTCATTCACATTTTCCCCCATCAAATCATCGAAAAGGTGAAAGAAAGGCTCGAGAAATGTTCTTTTTGGCATTTGGAGAGAAAAGCATTGGCATAAATGCAAATTGGGGAAAAAAAAAGAGGGGAAAACTTTGAAATTCTCATTGTCAGGGGCTAGCTGAATATCTTTACTATATAGAAATCAACTTTAAGAACTCAAAAAAAAAACGAATTTTACTTCTAGAATTGGTCGTTTTTGTAGTTTTACCAATCATAAGACTATCTACCGTAACTGTACGAGACTATCTATTGGGTTGGGGACTATGACTCGGCGCCGAAAATCAAAAAAATGTCTAAAACTTCTATCCGAATTCGTCAAATAATATGCGTTTGAAATCAGTAGAATGGTTAACTAATTCTCTACAAAATCACATTTAAAAGAAAATTCAAACAGCGCCTCCGCTCAAGAAAAAGCCATTTTTTCACAAAAACTACAAACTGTGATCTAGAAAAAACCATTGGTGGGATCTTTTTGCAAATTTGGCAACTTATGTAATTGAATGTGCTCTATCTTTTTTATATAAACACCAAAGAAGGTTTATGTGAAAGAAACTGTTCAAATGGATGAGTCGGGCTCTTTGCCATTTTGACTAGCTGTGTTTGGGAGTCCATAAACTCCACGAAAGAAAAGCTTTGTGGAATCTCTCAAAAGTGATTTTGTAGAGAAATAGTGGATCCTTTTGATGAAACCAAACGTATATTTAAAGAAGGCTTTATGTGTGCAAAAAGTCCCTTTAAAGTTTGGCGCCGAGTCATAGTCCCCAACCCAATAACTGTACGAGGTGGGTACTATTACAGTATTGTAATAGTACCTACCTCGTACAGTCGCGTAGTCGCAGTTTTTAGTATTTCATTTTTTTCAAAGCACCCATACTTTCAAAAACGGCGTCTTTGGTATCAAAAAAAAAAGCCCTGAATTTCAGCTATTTTTTGATACCTAAACGCGCATTTTAGCATAAACCAGTGTCGAGAAAAACTCATTCAAAGCTAGACTACGCAACGCTCCGCACCGTCATTATGGGGGTGAGATACTATTACAGTATTTACGGTAAGCTATTTAACAGTAAAGATTAACAGCAAAGATAGAGTTATTCGCTAGTCTGTAAAGCTTCGTTTTGGTGGACTAGTTCTGACTATGGATAGTTTATTTGAAAATCAATAGCTAGACTCTGGGCTAGATTGGGCTTAAAATCAAGTACACAAAGTAAAAGCGTTTTCTAAAACGTTTTCTAAAACGTGTTCACTTTCCAAAATTACCGTAAATTTTTGGCGGAGCACTGTGCGTTCTTTCCATGTCGCTCGTAAGAAAAAAAGGTGTCTGGCACACCATCCGGGCTAGAGACCGCCGAAAACCCCTCTCATTGGTTTAATTACCCAAGTTTTGAGCGTTCTTTCCATGTCGCTCATAGGAAAAAGCGGCACCTGGCACACCGTCCCGGCTAAAGACCACCGAAAGCTTCTCCCTGCCGGTTTAATTACCCAAGTTACTCGTTTAATTAAACCCGCGCTATAAAGAACACCTCATCACCATAGTCAACCACTAGTTTTGCCAATCATAAGACTATAGTTATCAATTTCAAAGCCCAGCTTAGCATTTAAAGTTTTTTTACAAGAGAAAAAGCGTTATCCTCTTTTGTTTTGTCTAGACAATTTCTCAAAAAAAAAAAAAAGGAAAAAAACGAAAACGAAATCTTGTCGTTTTGATTACGCAAATTTCGGTGATCAAATGGTGAATTTGAAAAAGAAAAAAAATGGGATAGCTTAAAGAAATCTCAGAAAGCCAAAAAGAAAAAAAACACGTTTTTCTGCGATTTCCATTTTTGACATTAAATGAGAGAAATCGTAGGGGAGATAAGGGGGAAATTTGCGGTTGGCGTTGGCATAGGGAGAAATTTCGGAGGTGATTTATGCATTTCTTTGTTAAGAATCTCGTTGAATTCGGAAAACTCATGGAATTCGAATTCGAATTCCTAAATTCGCAATAAAAATCCAACATTAGCATAATGGCATTGACTTCGACGTGCCTCTACGATTTCCGATTTCTACTTGAGCATTTCTATCACTCAAAACAGCAAAACAAGATTGTGATATAAAAGGTTTATCTTTAGCTTAAGGAAATCAAGAGGAAAGCTCAAGGAAATCAAGAAGAAAAGCTTAAGAAAAGAAATCTTTAGCTCAATAGTTGAACAAAGTTTTCTAGATCAACTTTTGCCATATTAAAGTCGAAAATTTCATGGACATTACAAAGAAATCAGTCTTAAATCGGTCTTGAATAGGATTTGCTCAGATTCAAGACATGAAATATGAAAGGATTGAAGGGATTGGATGACTTTGAACGGGAATTGAAGAGAAAAAAGGGGGTGGATGGGATGGCTTTGTGACGGGAGAGTACATCGAGACAAAAAAAAAAGAAAGAAAGATGGTTTCTTGAACAAGACGAAGAGAGTCTCGATTTGTGGGGGAAAATCTATTCTACACATTGCACAAAATGTTTCAGCCTTAATTGGAAGCCATGGCTTAAAGTGGAAATTAACACATTCACGACAAAGCCATTTTTGTCTTGATTGCCTATTTGAACGACAGATATCTATGTTGTAGAGTTAAAAATTTGTAACCGCTGGCATTCTGGAACTGGGATCGAGAATTTGAATCTGTTCTTAGTTTTTAAGCAATTTCAATTCTCAAATCTCCAAAAATCGTGCAGATTTCTTTAAAAACCAAGTACTGATTCGAATTCTGCGGGAAAAATCATAAGAAAATGGCAATTAGAGTTATTTTCTTATGACTTTTTCCATATTAGGGGATTTTGCTATTTTAAACCTTTAGAAATTTAAACTCTAAATTTTGAGGTTTCAAAATTTCGAGATGTAATCAAAATTTGGGATCTTAAATCCCCAAAAAAAAATCGAGAAAACTCGAGAAATCGTTTAGCAAATCGCACGGAAACGTTTTAGTTATGGATTTCGAGAGATTTATTTGAGAAAAGAGAGAAAGAGAACACGGTAAACTTTCACCTCTTTCTGCTTCACAATGGAAGCAATTCTCGAAAGACACATTGTCGCATCTATTGTATTGTTTGTGTCACCTCTCAGGCTCAATAAGTGCAGCGAAAGGCGATGGCTGTAAAAAGGTGTCTATGCAATTGAAAATCAATTAAAACTATAAAACTCGAACCAAGACGTTTGCAAAAAAGAAAAAACTGATAGTGAGATGAATTTTCAGTTAGAATCCACAAATCTGGTCCGAAAGGTTATCGAAACCTGTAAAAAAAAAACTGTCGTAATCTATCTATCATTTTGCCGAGGCTCAAAACAAAAACCACCAAATCAATGAAAATTGGCGAATTGGTCAGTTTTCAAAAAGATGACCATACCGTTCAAAGACTAAGAAATTCAAGTATCGCCAAGAAAAGTTGGTGAAAGCGCCAGGGAATGCCTCAAAATTGCTCAGATCTGAAAGAAAACGAAAGGAAAAAGAAAGAGATGGAACAAAAACGTAAAGTTTTGTACAGGTTATGCAAATCAGATCAGCCAATACAACCAACAAGAAAAGCCAACAGGCAAGTGGCAAAAATTTGTATTTGGAAAGAACCGAGTATAAAAAAAATTGAAATTTGAAAAATTGTCAATACTTTATTTCAAAAATGATCCACAAAAACCAATCAAAGAAGCCAAAAAGAATTGAACTGAAATTTTGAATTTTTTTCGTTAATTTCCTTTAACTTTGCAAGATCACGGGTTCACTTTGAGGATCTAAAGACAAATTTTTGATCTTTAGATCTTTAAAAACAAAAAAATAATATTTTGATACTAAATATCATATTTAAAAATTGTATTTAAAAAAGTACTCACATCTCGATTTTCTTCGCCTTTGCTTTTGCCAGCTTTGAGCACTTCTATCTTCGTCGAAACTTCATGATCTCTAAAAAAAATTATTATTACTTTAAATTAGTTCAGTAGGTTAGATCCTTAAAAAAAATATCGTAACCTTTGCTTTAAAGACAATTTAAACTCACGCAAGCAAAAACAAATAGTGACAGATGAGAAAAAGAACAAGCAGCGCCGCCGAACTACATCCAACACACCAAGGTTCGTAATCCTGAAAGAAAAATGAATAACTAGTTATTTAAACTAGTTATTTTAAATTAGTTATTTATTAGGTTGATGCATAAGTCTTTTTGTTCCTTTTCGTCTGCCGTTTCAAGCCAACAAATGCACGAATTAAACTACGGTTGATTTCATTAGAAAAACCAATTATTTTTCTGCAAAATAACATTAAAACGGGTTTAAAAATATTGAATGCCTGGATTTTCTTGAGAGTATGAAGTCGGGTAGTCAAAAAGGGCTAACTCGATGATGCGGTTTAGACACCTTAGCTAAAGAAAACCTATCTTCGTGTCAATAGATAAAAGATAGAGAAAAAAAACGTTTGATATTTCGCCAAAATTTCAGAGAAATTCATTCAGCCAATTTTTCCGTAGAGTTTTTTATAGATTTTTACGAAAAAGGCGTTTTTCACTCTCGAATTTGCTTGAAAGTGAACCGAAATTCATTTAAAAAGATGCAAATTGAACAAAAAAACACTTTTTTTTATAGAGCAAACTATAGATTAATTGGTGAATTTGTTACTTTTTAACAGAAGTACGAAAAAAACGAAAAGACTTATGCATCAACCTATTAAATAACTAGTCATTTTAAACTAGTTATTTAAAATAAATAGTTACACCTAGCAGAAAACTTATAACTAGTTACTGAAAAAATAACTATTTATTTATAAATATCTATGCCTAAAACACCAAAATTTGCGCCTGAAATTCAATCTTTGGAATGGTATTCAAAGAAACGTTTTTAAAGGACTTTCAAACAAAGCACGCTTCGGAAGACAGCTTCTAGCAAGTGTTTTACCTCCCAAAAGTTCGCCAACAATGTCCACATCGCGATTTCAACATCACAATCGAGCCCACCGAAGCCATAAACGCACTGGAACAATTGAATTCATAAGCCAAATATAAAAAAAACCAACTTCGCACTTGAATTTTCGGCTGAACGCGTCATTCTCTTCACATTTTCCATTTACACAGCGCTCATTTCCTGGAAATTTATCCTATAAAATTGTTATAGCCTTTGTACAACTATCCGCAATAGTCCTTACACAAAAAGTTGATTTTTTTTCAACATTAAAAAACGCACCAAATGCCACACAGTAATCCTCGACGTACTCACAAAATGTTCCGCGTGTGCCCGGTCGACAAATACAACTAAAATTTTGGAAATTCACTAAACAATAAAAATAGCTTACTCATAATCGTAATCTTCGGTTTGTCGACAAATCGCCCCATTTTGGCATTGACTTTTCGAGCAAACCTAGGTCAAGAAAATGAAATGTTTCAACCGAAAAAAACTTTACCGAAATCTCGTGATCACAGTTGAATCCCGACCAGCCTGGCTCACAGAAGCATCTAAAAAGATTGGAAAATGTGGCCAAACAAAAACAAATATGGTACTTGTACTGAACAACAAGCTCGTGATCGTCACACATCTCCAGATTTCCTTCCTAAAAGATTAGGGAAATAGTTAAGCTTCAATTTTTTTTCTTAAAAACCCTCAAAAAAACCAACCGGCGCTTTCTTTCCACAATCAAAGCATGTTCCATGTGTGCAAAGCGTTCGATCAGCGCATTTGTTCGTCCCATTTCCGGCTTGACAATCAAAGTTGTTCGCTAAAAATGTTTTGTAGTAATTTCGGATAGGAACATTACGCGAAACATTGACGAATCCCTTGGCACAAACGCATTGATAAAGACGCAGTGAGGCAGCTTCCTGAAGGCAGACTTTATATAGAAAAAATAAAGCAACAAACCGGTCGATTGCTATCCGGATCCAATGGAACACACTCCGAGTTTGGTGGGCAAAGCATCTAAAATGAAAAGCTTGTTTTAAAAGTTAAAACTTTAAAAAAAACCCACCTCAGCACATGGATCAAATTTCTCGCATTTCGTTCCCGTGTAGCCAGGATTACAACTAAAATATACATTATCAATACAAAACTTGAAGTTGAATATACATTATCAATACAAAACTTGCAAATATAAAGTTAAATATCCATTATCAGTACAAAATTTGAAAATATAAATTTGTTTATGCTCAAAATTCAATGAATCAAATACTAAACAACGTAAAAAATGCCTCTAGTTTCAATCAAAAATCATCGAATCAAAAAAGCAACATGATAATGTCAGATACTAGTGGTACTAAGTCTATCGATTCAAACAACTCACATACAAACCGCTTCCCCTTTACGCACCGTCGAGCTGCACACACCATTTATCGTAGATGTGCACCTAGAAGTACAAAAATTGAAACAAAGAATTCCCAACTCACCGATTCTCCAGTGTGATCCCTCTCTCGAATTCCTCAAAAGTCGGATGACAAGGGTTCTCTCGTTTATACTAGAAGCTAAATTACTAATAAAATAGATAATAACAACAAACCTGGCAAAAATTCCCTTCATAGTCCCCTTGCAAATCGTCACAGCTACAGTGTGGAGCCAAAATCTTTGTTCCCGAGGGCACTAAATAAAAAAAAAATGTCAACTCGAAACTTTAACCAACTTTCCATGATGAATGGCTCGTGTGAAGCGTTTTGGAGGCAAAATTTCCCCTCCAGTAGCGCCGAGCAGTCATCCCATTCCTCCTAAAATGGATTGACTATAGATGTTTTAAAACAATAGTGAAATGTAAAAAATGCAAGTTATTAATATGAAATTTAATGGATACAGCGCAATTATTACGATGCATAGTAGAATTTTCATTTTAAAAAAACCCCTCACCGGTACCACATCCGGATCTCCGCCTTTAATCGAGCCAAGCTTTGGCGTTTTACAAGTCAAAGGCAATCCCTCCAACGTTTCGATATCGGTTAGACTTCTAGAAAAGAGAACAAAGATCAATAAAGAAAAGTTAGCTTACAAATTCATCTCATTTCGATGCAGCTTCACATTTTCAAGCCAAGTGGTCCAAGATTGGGGTGAATGCTGAACAAAAACAATACACGTATACACCAATTTTTAGAAGAAACCGGGAAATCGGTGCGCGGAAGTAGGCCAGGGATGACACTTTGGAATTTCGACTCTTTGCTTTCCATGCTCAACTCCGAACAAGTTGTACCTGAAAAAAGAGAAATTTATGCGGATATGCGATGTGATATAAAATTCGGTTTGTTAAGCACCTGTCACTTCAACGCCGGTGAATGGAAATTTCGTGCCACAATCGCACCCCGGCTCGTACGTGATCACTTCTCGACCATCGGTGCCAAGCTAAAAAGAAATGATAATATGATAATGATGATTTTAAAAGCTTTGCAAAAATCCCCCCATTAACCCACCTCGATTTTCCTATTCGCTTTACAGATCCCAAAATGACATGTGTCGTTCGCAAAGCACGGATTTACGAATTCACACTAAATATGAATCTCGATCAAATGCAATTACTGTTAAACCTGTTTTCCGTCAAATCCCTGATTACAATGACAGATACAATCCTTTTCTTTACCACTTGTCGCGTTCCATTCACCTTCCTGAACTTGGAAAATGTTGCTTATTATGAAGAAATGATTACCCCATTATTGAAACATCCATCCGTCATACAGTAGAGATCATTCTGTAAAGTGGAAATGGTGATTTTAACCGATCAGCATTTTCTTAAAGCCTAAAAAGCTTAAAGCTTAAAGTAAAGCTCACCGACGTCATTTCGCATAAATCCCCAGAATATCCATCAAGGCAATCGCATCTAAAAACTTGTAAAAGGATAATGTAACGCAAAAAACTAACCTGTAACTGATTTCTTTCATATAATTCTGACTGTTAATCGTGTCCCCGGGATGTTTTTTCCTTGCTGCTTTATAGGAAATGATATCCAGCACGTGGTACGTCTCGGGGACACTAAAAAAATTAAAAAATTAAATCTAGATTCCAAAAGTTAGCAAATTGTTGATCATCAAATTACCTATAACAATTGGCTTGATGTTGACAAAGATTGTCTCGACAATTCTCCAATGAAACTTTCAACTAAAACTCGATGAATAACGTAGTAATAGGAATTTTCTCACCTCACATCTTTTTCCAATGTATCCTTTCTCGCATTTGCACTCGAAACTAAAGAAATTTACGTGGAAATCTTTGAAATTAACATACTTTCCATTGCGATTTATACAAGTTCCACCATTCATGCACATTTGGCGCTCTTTGCACGGATCGTAGTTCTAAAAAAAGGTAAGAAAAGCTAAGAAAAGCTAAAAAAAGCTAAGAAAAGCCAAAAAAAGCTAAGAAAGGCTAAGAAAAGCTAAAAAAAGGCTTGTAATAGTAGAAAAGGTTAAATAAAAAGCGAAATCGATCTACAATTTATTGAATAATTTTGTAAATTAGGCTTTAAATCGTAAAAAAAATAAAAACCCCAACCTTATCCTTGGGTTTCGCTGCTAAAGAGCTCTCTGGTCGAAGGCGGGGAATCGTCGGATTGTGCTAAACAAAAATCTTTATTCGCTATTTAGCTGTTTAAGCTGTTAAAGAATCAACAAAATATGCCTACTTTGATGAATTTTCGAAACTTTTTTGCCAGATTCACGACTTTTCCCACACCAAACAAGCTACGGGTTTCTAAAATGACATAAATCTAGCATCAAAAATCGAAAAAAACTATTTCTTCTGCGTTATTTCAGAGTAAAAAAAAAAGCATTTTGCATACGAAAAACTAAAATTTGGCCTAGAAATGAGTTTAGAACCTGGGAGTGGGACAAATGCGACCTTTTTTTTTGCGCACCCGGACATTTGCGCACCTTTTTTTCCGCACCTTGCCCATTAGCGCACCTTTTTTCGCGTTTTAAAAAAGCTCTAAAAAGCTAATATTAACCAATTTCTATTCCAAATGTTGTTTTTCTAGGCAATTTTAGGGCGTAGAATCGAAATTTTGACATATCAAAGCTTGTGGAAGCGAACGGACGGAGTTATACAAAGAGAAAGATCGACAATTTTCTGTAATTTGATTTAGCTGTTTTGTCTTTCAAATTGGTTCCGCGCGCTCTGTTATGTCAAAATTTGAATTCGACACCCTCAAATTACCTAGAAAAACAACATTTGGAATAGAAATTGGTTAATATTAGCTTTTTTAAAACGCGAAAAAAAAGTGCGCTAATGGGCAAGGTGCGGAAAAAAAGGTGCGCAAATGTCCGGGTGCGCAAAAAAAGGTCGCATTTGTCCCACTCCCTAGAACCTAAAAAAATAACATAAAAGCCATTGCACGGCTTGGGAGCCGCGAAATTTTTATGGAAAAGCTTGAACAAACAAATTTCTATAATCCCGTATTGTCTATTTAGCCTAAAATTTTAAAAACAAACTTTTCCCATATTTATTCCCGCGTTTGATCAACCCTCGAGTGCGTTTCGCAAGGTTGGCGGCAAAGAAAACGAAGCCAAATGTCGATTCGAAGAAGAACAAAGCGAACAATACTAAAGAAAACGATTTTCAACGAATTTAAATAATAGTAAAAGTAAAAAAAAGCATTATAAATGTGTATTTAACAAACAGTATTAACAAACAAACAGATTTCTTACGCACTTCCTAGAAAGAGGCGACTTAAAGCGACCATATTGTGAAAGTTTGAAGAAAAAATTTCAAAAAAAAGAGCGTTCGCAGAAAAATTAGCTTTATGGAAACTGTTGTATACAAATTTACAAAAATATTTTTCGTTTTTGTTTTCCATCTACCGGTAATTCGTTTTCTAAAGCAGTTTTCTAAAGCCGTTTCTCTAAAGCCGTTTCTCTAAAGCCATTTTCTAAAGCAGTTTTCTAAAGCCGTTTCTCTAAAGCCGTTTCTCTAAAGCCGTTTCTCTAAAGCCATTTTCTAAAGCCATTTTCTAAAGCAGTTTTCTAAAGCCGTTTCTCTAAAGCCGTTTCTCTAAAGCCATTTTCTAAAGCAGTTTTCTAAAGCCGTTTCTCTAAAGCCGTTTCTCTAAAGCCGTTTCTCTAAAGCCGTTTCTCTAAAGCCGTTTCTCTAAAGCCGTTTCTCTAAAGCCATTTTCTAAAGCCATTTTCTAAAGCAGTTTTCTAAAGCCGTTTCTCTAAAGCCGTTTCTCTAAAGCCATTTTCTAAAAGCCATTTTCTAAAAGCCAGTTTTCTAAAAGCCGTTTCTCTAAAGCCGTTTCTCTAAAGCCGTTTCTCTAAAGCCGTTTCTCTAAAGCCGTTTCTCTAAAGCCGTTTCTCTAAAGCCGTTTCTCTAAAGCCGTTTCTCTAAAGCCGTTTCTCTAAAGCCGTTTCTCTAAAGCCGTTTCTCTAAAGCCGTTTCTCTAAAGCCGTTTCTCTAAAGCCATTTTCTAAAGCAGTTTTCTAAAGCCATTTTCTAAAGCAGTTTTCTAAAGCCGTTTCTCTAAAGCCGTTTCTCTAAAGCCGTTTCTCTAAAGCCATTTTCTAAAGCCATTTTCTAAAGCCATTTTCTAAAGCCATTTTCTAAAGCAGTTTTCTAAAGCAGTTTTCTAAAGCCGTTTCTCTAAAGCCATTTTCTAAAGCCATTTCTCTAAAGCCATTTTCTAAAGCAGTTTTCTAAAGCCATTTTCTAAAGCCGTTTTTCTAAAGCCGTTTCTCTAAAGCTTGTTTTTCTCTCTTGATTATCGTAATCTTTCTCTATTTTCATCAAATCTATCCTTGGTATTAATTAGATTTTAGAATTAGATAGACTTCATCTATCTACCGTATTTTCTCTAATAGTAGTGCACCCTGAGCGTCGCCTAAATTGCTCGAAATCGCGAGAACAGCTTATCACAACCTATCGATTTTCATAAAGGATTTCAAAATGATACAAAAAGTGATTGGAAAGGGGGTAGGCTAGTTTCCGCAACTTTTTTTGAGCAACTAGGTCATTTGCGCAACTGAGTCGTTTGCTCAACTCGCCAGAACTTTCTCCTAAGTGGACCAATCTTTATGATTTTGGTTTCATTTTGTAGATCTCAATAAGTGCTACAAAATGATACTAAAATCATAAAGATTGGTCCACTTGGGAGAAAGTTCTGGCGAGTTGCGGAAACTAGCCTACCCCTTGGAAAGAGAAGATTGAATAAAAGACAAAATAGAGACAAGTTTACGGTTTGTTCGGAAACGTAAGACGAGTTTACGATAGTCGGAAAAGAGAAATTGGGATCAGTTGAGTCGTTTTTTTTTGAACATTTGCAACTTTTCAAAACAATTTATTAGCAAAAAAAAAGAAACAAAGTGAATATAATAGAAATCTGTGTCCAAAGCCAATCTTGAGCATTATTCTCTCCTTTTTTTTCATAATTGTGATAGAAGATCTTTTTGACAGGGTTCCCATAATAGAATATCGGATGGGAGATGAAGACGGAGATTATCGATCCCGCACTCACCGTCAATCATTCCGCGATTCTCGCACATAAACACCAGCTAGAAATTTAGACTCAAATTTTTGCGTCTTTATTGCGTCAAATTTAGACTCGTCTTTTTGCGTAAGCGCATTTTTTAAGCAAGAAATTTCACTAACAATTAGGATTACGATTGTTCTAAGCTTGTTTCATTTGATTTTTCATTTGATTTTGTTTGTGTACTTTTCAGCGTATCATTTCTGGCTTTCCTTTTCTCGAAAGATTTGGTTCATTTTCTCTATAGATTTGGTTCATTTTCTCTACAGATTAGTTCATTTTCTCGAAAGATTTGGTTGCTTTTCTCCGACAACGTAAGTCAAATCCCCAATTTGTGTGTGTTTGCGCGTTCTATATAAACTTAAAGAGAAAGACAAAACAAGAATGACGCTACGAATGAGAAAAAAAGAAAAAGAACAATTTTTCCCGATAATCTTTCCTCACAATCTTTACCTCTTATTCTTTACCCACCTTAACCGTATTTGCTGGGCAACTAAACCGAGCAGCTTGCCAAATCATCACCGATGATTCGATTGGAGTTGAAAAGGGGCAAATGAGTTGCGGTTGACCGATTACCTCAAAGAAAATTGATAGAAAATTGAATTGATTTTGAATTGGATTCAAACTTTTACCTGACAACATCCCCGCAAACTGACGTCCGAATGATGCTCGAGAACGTCGAGAACGATCTGAAATCAAATATTTACATTTGTTTAACAATCTAGATATGTTTTTATAGAATGTTTATTAGGAAAAGGTTTTCAAAGCTTTTCAATATTTTTTTTTTGTCTTGAATTTTCCCCCACCAAATGCTCTTCCCGTAGATTCGTCGGCGTCTCTAAAACAACCACCGAGCTCGGTCTCACATTCGCCAACGCAAAACTTGATAAACCGACTGAAAGAAAGCATTGAGTGTACAAGATTTATTTCATAGATCTAAGCTGTACTTCAGCTGTACTTGTCTCTATCCAAGTCTCTATCCAATCTGAACTCTATCCAATTTAAGTCTCTATCCAATCTGAGTTAGACTAAATTTTCACGATTTTCTTTTTGCCAATTCTAACCATATTTGACCTAAATTTTTGCTCTAAAAACTAAAAAAAACATCGATATTTTCGTACCTTTCGTCAATCGAAACATTTGATTCGGATCGAGCGTCGCATGAGTGTACGAGCAGAGGCCACGCTCGAATAAACATCCGCCCGGGCTATCGCATTGATTTCTGAAAATTTAAGTATTCAACGTAGAAAATCGAATTGTACCGATCGAAAAGCGGATGAAGGGGAGATCGATTTGAAGAGGTAGCTGGCTGAATCACTTTTTATAGTTATTCAAAGTATCAAATTCTAACTGGCGATCTTTTCCAAGAAAATCCCGGGTTAGCGCTTTAAAGAATGGTAAAACTACCGTACCCCTCCGGATTTGCAGCCAAAAAAAGAAAGAATTTCATTCTTTCATTTTTGTTCTTTATTTCATTTCGTGTTTTCATTCTTGTTCTTTTTTTTATTTCATTGTTGTTCTCTATTTCATTCTTAGTCTTTATTTAATTCTTATTCTTTATTTAATTCTTATTCTTTATTTAATTCTTATTCTTTATTTAATTCTTATTCTCTATTTCATTCTTAGTCTTTATTTAATTCTTATTCTTTATTTAATTCTTATTCTTTATTTCATTCTTTTTCTTTATTTCATTCTTTTTCTTTATTTCATTCTTTTTCTTTATTTAATTCTTATTCTCTATTTCATTCTTAGTCTTTATTTAATTCTTTTTCTTTATTTAATTCTTTTTCTTTATTTAATTCTTATTCTTTATTTAATTCTTATTCTTTATTTAATTCTTATTCTTTATTTCATTGTTGTTCTCTATTTCATTCTTTTTCTTTATTTCATTCTTGTTCTCCATTTCATTTTATTCTTTTTGCGTATTTCTTATATCGTTTTCTTCGTATTCTTTATGAGTGATAGTTTTATGAAACGAAAAGAAACTTGGCGAATTCTTTGCGGAAAATAGAGAAATTACTTTGCTTACATACTTAGAGATTGCTGATTCAGTTCAGTTAAAAAAAAAATTTTAAAAATCAATCATAAAGAATATGGTTTTCCATATAAGTAATTCGCAAAAAGAATAAAATGAAATGAAGAACAAGAATGAAATTGCGCGCTTTCTTTTACACCTGCAAATTAGTGACACGGTAGTTTTGGCACAAAGCGCTAACAGGATTTTCTCGGAAAAGATAGCAAGTCAATTCAAAAACCGTATCCCCAAAAAACTCACTCGAATCGGTGTCTGTGGTGGGACTTGTTGCTGCTGTGTTACTCTCTGTGGTTGCATCACCGTACGAGATGTTGGCTGGGATGTTCGTGATCGAGCCGGCTGTCGAACACTTGTGCTTGGAGGAGCCGGCTGCTGGGGTTTCTGCTTCTAAATTGCATTTTTCGGATTTTGAATCACTCAACAGTCAAAATAGCTCAGCACTAGGCTTCCATTGAGTCTTCTATTGAAACAAAGTGTCACCTGTTGCCTAAAGTATTCTTCGGCTTCCGGATCATCACCCTCCTCGTCATCTTTGCTGATGAAACTCGGATCGAGGAAATCAGAGAACTCTTTTCCGACGAGATCGTGCAAAGCTAAAGTGAGAAATCAGAAATAAAGAGCCGATTTCAGAAGGAGCAAAACTTCTCACAACTTGAACAATCGATTAATGGAATAAAGAATAAACTTAATTTTGGATTGAATGGAGATTCAAGTGCTGTTTCTGTCATTTTTGACTAGGATGACAGACTTGACCCTGGCACTGATCTTGCCCTAAGTGTCTTGCTTTATCCGGGCTTTAAAACTGAATAGTGGCCTGGCCTATAGTGAGGCAACAATATCAAAGTCGGAGGTCTTGTACTGATCCTCTAGAAATAGATCAACTCACGATTGAAATCTTTGCCCAATGATGTGGGCAGGAGTGGTGGTGGTGGAAGAACTGATGGGATGGCTCTCGGGGGTGGTGGTTGCATTGTTTGTCCCATTCTCCCTCTCATCCCACTCGTCGCCATTGATGGAGCCACTCGTTGCGTGTTCTCCATCACCGTCACTCGGTTGGCCGCCTCGTGAAACGATTGCGGGATTTTCACCTGAAAGCATTGCGTTTAAAACCTTAGCTTCAACATTAGTTTTTGAAGTATTAAGTTGGCAAGTTATAAACGATCGTTTTTGGGTAATTTGTTTTCTGAAAAAAAAAAAAACGGCTTATCTAATCAAAAAACGGTTTGCTTCATTCAAAAGCCCTATCCTTATAATCTACGAAATGGGTTTTTTGAATTTTGTGAAAAATGTTTTATTTTAGAAGTTTTAGATTTTTTTTTTTTTTTTTCAGGCATTTTAATGTAAGAGTTTAAAATCCTGATTTCTAGCATTCATGAGCTATTATATTTTTGAGTGATTGCATACTTTATAAAATAAAACGCTTCATCGATTATATAGTTTCCCAAAATTTCCGAACAATTCAATCGATCGAAACGTTGATTTTCAAACTAGGCTCAAAATGCACTTTTGTGCTAATTTAATCCATTTTCATTTGAATTTAAGCAAGATTTTTAAAAAAATCCAAGAGAACGATTCGATCGATTGAATTGTTCGGAAATTTTGGGAAACTATATAATCGATGAAGCGTTTTATTTTATAAAGTATGCAATCACTCAAAAATATAATAGCTCATGAATGCTAGAAATCAGGATTTTAAACTCGTACATTAAAATGCCTGAAAAGGTTCTAAAATAAAACATTTTTCACAAAATTCAAAAAACCCATTTTGTAGATTATAAGGATAGGGCTTTTGAATGAAGCAAACCGTTTTTTGATTGGATAAGCCGTTTTTTTTTTTCAGAAAACAAATTACCCAAAAACGATTGTTTATAACTTGCCAACCTAATAATATTCCGTAAACAGGTTTCGGACTGTACTACTTGTTTCACTCACATGCTTTGTGCTCTTCATCGTCGGATTCTTGACTGTTTGCGATTCAATTGCTGTCGATAAACGGGGAACTAGGTGAGTGGATGAGATTTGTGATGATGAAGAGGGCTTTTGTTGAGCTGGTTTTCGGTCAGACTAAATGAATGTAGCTTGGGATTATCTAGTTACTTTGAGCTAGAGTTAAAAAAACAGAAGAAAGTCGAAGAAAACCAAATATCTCATCACATATGTTTGTGAGAACTTTGATTCTTAATTCCCCCACTAGCTTACATTTGAAGCTTTCGAATGAACTCTGACACGATGGAGAAATATTGTAAGAGTGCATAGATTTCGATCATTTTTTTGAGGGGAATGCCATTTACCTTTTTAAGCATCTTTTGGAGCTCAAATCTGATAAACGCATCTCTTTCGGGCTTTCCTAACAAGATGAGATTTGAGGGGAATTAAAGAATTCAAAGTAAAACACGAAATTCTAGCCTTATTGCAAGAAAAATGGAGATTTCAGTGCACTAGAAAGGGTGCGTTTAGAAATTGCTCTAAGAAAAGCGCACAAAGTGCTTTAACCGACCGTCGTCGTGCTCAACGTGTCGAAATGTTTCTCTCCGCTGTTCCCCGACGAAACTCGCAAATCTTTATCCTGTCTAAATACAAGAAAATCGAGAATTCCCGAGAATTACAAGAAAATCGAGAATTCCTACGTGTTCTCCAAATTTCGAATCTGCCTCGCCACCTCTTCATTCAAAGCGCTTTCCTGCATCGTGAGCTTGCTAAAGAAAGTCATTTCGCTTGCATAATTCAACTAGCTAACGGCGTGCGCCAGGCTACGTGCGTTTACATGTACCACCAGACAACCAGGCGTTTCCCAGTGCGCCAAATGGCGTGTGTTTATATGGGGCACAAGAGAACGCACGGGAAGGCCGGCATTTCGGTGCGTTCTCGTAAACGCACGCCTTCTGGCGCACTGGGCGACCGCAGTCGGCTCAATTGCTCAAACAGGTGCAAAACCAAAATCCCCACTTGATCTTCAGCTTTCGATTCCCTGAGTTCGGCAAAATCGCTTTCGGTCTTGCTCTGAATGTTTGAAGTGATTAAGTAAGCGTTTTTTGTAGCTTTTTTTGCTTACTTTCTAAAATCCGATGACGAAGAGCGGTGAACGGGAACACTGAAATTGTTGGATTTCAAAAATTTTTCTTCCAGAACTCACACAGCAGTGTGCTGAGCCCCAAGGTTGATTGAAGGAAGTGAGGGAGCCGTTTTGCAATCACTGAAAGCTCTTTTGTAGCTAGATCTTAGTATCTTTTGTTTTTTTTTTTGTTTCTTATCAATTAAAAGATGTCATACTATTTATTGTAAAGTTAAAATAGATGAATTTGAACAGTTTAACATCAAAATAAAACGAAAACAATGGAAGGGATCGAACCCGAGCAAAGAATTGATATCTCGTTTTGGAAACAACAACTCTTATCCACTCCACCACAGCTCACAGCTCACAGCTTGCAGACGGTGAGTCACAGCGCTCGCAGAGTCACAGCTCGCAGATCTGACCCTATTTAAGCCTAAATTTCTTCAGTACTTGTACTCGACGGAGATCCGATCGATTAAAATCACTCCGTACGTCTTCGAGGCAACATTCTCGATGAGGAAATAGAGCTGAAAAGGGCAATTATTTTGAAGCTAAACTCTAAGCAAGACTTCTAGCAGTTCAGCTACTTTTTGTGGCTATCGGCCGACCCGTCCCTTCTCCCATTTGCAATCTAACTCAAAGCTCAAAGCTTAAGCTCAAATCTCTTTGTGTTGGGCTGCTGAATTTACAAATTCTTTGGTATCATTGGCGGCGCCGAGTCTTTCTCTTTCGAGTTTTACAAAAACTATCTATATTGAACAGCAAAACATTAAGAAATATTTGAGTTCAAAGTTTGATTTTCAATGGGAAAAGAGGCGGGAAAATTAAGTATCACTTTTTTTGTGCCCACAATGTCCCACAATGACTTTTTGTGGGCAAACCTTCAGCGAATCATGGCGTTGACCTTGCCTTACCCGACTTGCTTTACTGCAAGCCTGTGGATCTAGGGAAATGGCAAGTCAGGGCAAAGCCTGAATTTTAGAGGCAGGTACTTGGCCTGTCCCTGACCTGTCCCTGGCCCGTCCCTGGTCCAGAAAAACGTCTTGCGAACAAGCCTGATACCAGTTGTAGAAACTAGCGTAACATTAGGGCTACGGTAACTGGATACGATAGTCGGCACTAGCTTTAAAGCGCCAGCCACTCAGGCTACGGTAGCCGGCGCTGGCTTTAAACCATCATCAACACAGTCACTTCAAAGCATGACAGCGTCACCTCGGATTACAGTAATTGTGATAAAAGTGACAAAAAGACGAACTACTTGAGTTACTGTAAGATTAAAAGGGTTACGGTAATCTCACCTGTATCTGTTTCCCTGTCGGCACGAAGAGCGTCTGCTGGGCGAGATTGCTTTGTTCGTTGGGTGAAATCTGGATGCACTCCTCTTGATCCTCCTCTTGAGTCTGAAATGTTTGAGAATATTCGATAGAACAATCAATTAGCTATTAGAGCTGTCCCTGGCCTGTCCCTTGTCCAGAAAAACGAAACGAAAAACGTCGAACAACGCCTGCTACCAGCTAATTATCAAATTGCAATCAATTTCTCGATTTCTATCTTTTTAAGCCCCCACCTCTTGACCGACGACGAGTTGCCAGCAGAGGCTCACTTGAGCTGTTGGAGATTGCCAATGTCTGAAGGGATATTCGAGATTCGAGATTTTAGAGAAATCTAGTTTAGCTCCAAGTACTTGATTTGGATCTGTCTTCGCACTTAGCTCACTAGATCACTAGTGCTCTAGTGATCTAGTGATCTAGATCACAACCCGCTTCCACATTTACTGAGGCACTCCGATGGCCGGGCTGGGGCGCTCGGAGGGGAACCCATGGGAGTCGAACCCACGACTAACCCGCGCCGACGTTGCTCAACTTGGCAGATCGGACGGGGTCGACCACAGACCCTTCCCTTTCTGGGCCCCGCGCTCCAAGTACTTATGAAGCTAAATATCTAAATTTAAACTCTACATCAAAATCTAGAGCTAAATCTTTATCTAAAGCTTTATCTAAAAGCTATAAATTTGCGTACAACTTCTTTCTTGACCAAGTGCCGATCGGAAATAAATCCGGAAAAACCTTTTTTGACTCTAGATTTAGATCGACTAAAATAAAAAAGCATTTTTTTTTAAACCACTGTAACTCTTAGTAAATCAAATCGAAAGGTCTAGACCGTTTCTGTAAGCTCTTTTGAAGTTCTTTTAAAGAAACAGCTCCAGCAAACCCTCTAGGATCGGTGCTCTTTTCTTTTTAGCGGTTCGTTCTCAGCGTTGACTTTTACGGATCTATTTCTTTAGCAAATCCTGTAGAAATTCTGATGCTTTAAGCGATGGGAAATCTAATAGAGCATTTCGAAATACCGATATCTGACGATCACCGGCGATGTTGAGCAAAATGGACACGACATGAAAGAAGAGCCGCCCTCTTGCGCCCCTGTTTCCACCCGCATCACGTAAGGGCCATCTGGAAAGAGATTACAAGGTAAATTCATCCCTGATGGATCTCTTTCTCATCAAATTCATTCCTGGTCATCAAATTCATTCCTGATGGATCTCTTTCTAAGCTTCAATTACGAATTAGGCAAGTCCAGATTACTGTAGAAACAACGATTATAAAGTCAAATTTTGTTTGTAAATGAAAGGAAGATGAAGAAAGGAAGAGGAAGAAAGCCCAGAGATTGTAAAAAGAATGAAGAAAGTTGATGAACTTTGTTGCCTGGGTCTGTCCGGAATCGAACCCCTGACTCGACCCCGACCCCCCGACTATGAAACAATGCTCTTAGCCACTTGACCATGACCGCTATCGCGTCGTGGGGTGAATTAGTCGTTTACCTGGTGGTGTCGACTTTTTGCCGACGAGAAACGTGCGTCGAAACTCGTTGGTTGAGATGGTTTTCCTTGTCTCCCAAACGCCTTCCCCTTCAGCGCTTCTCCAACAGCATTCACGACGGAAATCACAGTCCAATGTGAACGAGAAGACTGAAATGTTTCGCGTTTCAGTTGATCTATCTTTACTGTTAAATAGCTTATCGTAAATACTGTAATAGTACCGCAACCCCATAATGACGGTGCGGAGCGTTGCGTAGTCTAGCTTTGAATGAGTTTTTCTCGACACTGGTTTATGCTACAATGCTCGTTTTGGTATCAAAAAATAGCTGAAATTCAGGGCTATTTTTTGATACCAAAGACGCATTTTTTGAAAGTACGGGCGCTTTAAAAAAAAATGAAAAACTAAAAACTGTGACTACGCGACTGTACGAGGTGGGTACTATTACAGTATTTACGGTGTGTACTGTTATTGAAGCTCAAATTTCTATTCAGCAGATCTCTACAGAACTTCTTTCAAGAAAAACAACAAACCAATCGAGATTAGGAGCGTCGTTGAAACGAGTAGTTGACGCATTAAAAATTGCATTTATGCAATTTGAATCGTGATTTGTGAAAAGGTTTTTTTTCAATAGATTCACTTTGAATTCACTCGATCATAGATTTATCTCTAAAAATGTACTTTTTAAACGAAAGAATTTCAATCAAAAGAATAATATTCTATAAAAGATCGTTTTCATCTATAAGAGATCGATTTCAGAGGGAGCTAGTAAAGTAAACTAAACTAGCCCCCCCCAATCCCCCGCCCCAAGCACACCAATCCCGGCAGGCGAGAGTATCATCGAAAGTAAAACTAACGTAATTGCAGTATCAGTTTTCGATTTTCGTTTGGTTTTGGTTTGGTTTTGGCTTTGGCTTTGTTTTTGGTCGAATTCGATGCAGCTAGAATCACTAAAATCGTTAGAAGATTTTGGTTAAAGAAAATTGATGATTAGATTACGGTAATTGGAAATAAGAAAACGTTTAAGAGGCAAAAAAATCAATAGAAAACTCAAAAGCTATTGATTTTCTTTAAATGGACACGAAAAAATCTCAGCAAATCAATCGAAAGTCTGGAAGAGAAGAGAAAAGAAAGAGAAAGAAGAAGAAGAAAGGGAAGAAAGAAGAGAAAGAAGAAAGAAGAAGGAGAAGAGAAAGAAGAAGAAGAAAGAAGAGAAAGAGAAAGAAGAAGAAAGAAAAGGAAGAAAGAGAAATAGAAAGAAGAAGAAGAAAGGAAATTTCCTCAAAAAGAAAAGCCGGATTTGTCAGGATCTCATTTTCCCTCAAAAAGGAGCATGGGCATTCGGAAAAGAAAAAAAAAAGAACAAAAGCCGGTTTCGCACATTTCATTTCTTCATCCCCATTTCCCCAAGAATCTCCTTTTTTCGTCGGATATCATTGATCTTCAAATGAGCGTAAAAACCGAGAAGTCAAACGACTAGTCAAACGTACGTCAAACGTACGTCAAACGTACGTCAAACGTAGTCAAACGTACAGCCAATCATTTCCCTCAAATCATTTCCCCAAGTTCTTAAATCCTAATTGAAAGTCATTTAGTACTTAATGACGTTTTGATTCTTTCCATTTGTTTAAATCATTGCATTCAATTCAATCATTACAAATTAGCTTTAACATTAGCGCATTAGAGTTGGAACTAAGACAAATCAAAAGCTTGCGCCCAGCCGGAACTAGGATCGGTGACCTATCGCTTACCAGGTAACTGTACTAACCATTACACCACGAGGCATTCGTTCTCCCTTCCTCTAGAGGGAGTTAAATACCAGTCAAAACTAGGGCAGATCAAAAAGTTGTCTGCCGCAGAGACTCGAACCGGCAACCTATCGCTTACCAGGTAACTGTGCTAGCCATTACACCACGAGGCACTTGATCTCCATTTATCTAGAGGGAGTTAACTGCCAGAACTAGGGCAGATCAAAAGCTTGTCTGTCGCCGAGACTTGAACCGGTGACCTTTACCGGTGACCGGCTAACTTGGTAACTGTGCTAACCATTACACCACGAGGCATTCGATCTGCTTCACTGATCGCTCGATAAGTGTTTTTTTTTTGTTTTTTGTTTCGTTTAGCTAACCTAATCAGTGAAAAGAGTACCAAATTTAGTATCAAATTTAGCATCAAATGATTTCCATATCAACTGGCATAAAATCGAAATTTACAGTTAGAAATAAGCATTCATAAAATTTGGGTAAAATGATTTAGGCAAAATGATCATTTCCCCCCGATCGTCCATAACACTTTTGACTATAACTTTTCATAGATTTCTCCAATTTGCATATTTTACATGTCAATCGACGCGAAAGAAAATTTCCTATTGATTGACATTAAAATCATTCAAATCGGATAAATCTATGAAAAGTTAGAGTCGAAATACTTTGCACCCCTATGGACGTTTGGTAGGGTAACATTGTTGGGGAAATCGTGTCTCTATTTACATCAAATCTATCGACATTTTGACTCTAATTCTACGCTGATTCAAAAAGAATATCGAAAGATCGAAAAAGTTGATAGATTCTGGATAAAAATCGTGCCATTTTGGTCGGGCACATTTTAGTAGGTGATGATAACACAAAGTAAGTCAAAGCGACTCTAAGTTCAGCAGTTTGTGATAAGACAAAGTAACTCTAAGCAACTCTAAGCCCAACGCTTTGTCATAACAGAAAGCAACTCTAAGCAACTCTAAGCCACTCTAAGCCCAATACTTGATGATAAGACAAAGCAACTCTAAGGTCAACGCTTTGTGATAAGACAAAGTAACTCTAAGCAACTCTAAGCCAAACGCTTTGTGATAACTCTAAGCAACTCTAAGCAACTCTAAGCCAAACGCTTTGTGATAACTCTAAGCAACTCTAAGCAACTCTAAGCCAAACGCTTTGTGATAACTCTAAGCAACCCTAAGCAACTCTAAGGTCAACGAAATCTATTTTTGCAAGCAGTCAACATGAGGAAACGAAAAACTTTTAAGAAGCACAGAAATTTCGAGATATATGATTTGTTCAAATTGAAACTATCTTGATCTTTCCAAGTGTGTTCTCCATATTCGTTTCTTTACGCACAGAGATTTTCAAACACTTTCACAATCCTTTCACACAGATGGCACAAAGACGAGATCGGATAAGTGAATGTGGTGAGAGGAAGGGGAAAAAAACAAGTAGAAAGAGAAAAGGGGGAACAAGTTTCTTTCACTGTTTGCATACCACAAGCATAACATTCACACCCACACATAGACACAAAAGGCGTTGATCTGGAGATGCCTGAAGCTCCAACTTTGTTTTTGCGGCCCAAAACGAAGGCCACCGTTTCGAGACTAAATTCACAGGCTCTTCGGTAGTTTGGGGGAGTTGGAAACTAAGGGCCGCGGTGTTCGCCAAAAAACGCGGTGATTTGAGGCCACGTGAATTAAAGCAGAAATTTTGAAAATCTATAAGCTTTAACTATCTATTAATTTTTAAACTTTAACACATTCACGACGACATGACCCGCCAAACTTCAGTTTTGGCAAATTTACTCACAAAAGTTTCAATTGTAAGTCACTCCTTGTTTTTCTCAAAATCTTTCATCCCTGAATAGTTTAAACCGTATTTTTTACTTTTACTTATTGACTGACATTTATTTCTAACAAAACCTTTCAGGAAATTGAATAAAAAGAAAAACCGCTATGAACAATGTTTTTGTGGAGACCGTGAAGAGGAGAAAATCGCAGGGCGGAACCGACAACAATAACAAAGAGAAAAAGTTCAGTCGCTTTTCCCTTTTAAATTAATAAGATAATTAACTAACAAAGTAACAAAAGATAGAAGAAAAAACGTACAAATCACAACAAATCAATAAATATGGAGAAAATGTGGGAAATTTTTCAAAGCCATTTGTGGATCGGGAGATTAGTCGTCCTCACGTCTGCGCTTACGGGCACGACCTTCTGAAAAAGAGAATATACACTTTGGATCGCATTTATACTGTCCCCACCACCACTAATATCGTTTTAATTTCATAATATAAATGCTAAACACTAACCATCAGCTTTGAGATCGATTTCAAACTCCTGATCAGCGCCCAAGTACGAGTCCGAGATGAAGAAGAGCTTCAGGTTGCGTTTCGACAACGATTTCACCGTGAACTCGAGTTGAGCTGTCGCCTTTTCATTGACAGTCAACCTAAAATTTTAACATCAACGGAAGTCAAATACAGTTACATTGAAAACAACTTCAACTCACCGTTTGATGGAGAGAAGCTCATTGTTGTCCGAATCATCGCCGACAATCAACCACCAACCCTCTTCTTTGCGCTTTTGTGGGAACAACGGGCAGATCACCTAGAATTTAGCATTGGGTAACCTTGTGACAAATTAACGAACCTTTGGAGCCAATCCATTTTCATCTACATTTTCTCTTTCCAACGAAACGTTGATCGTCACTTGCTCACCACTAAATTAATCGTATATTGTAAGCAATCACAAAAGAATCCGGATCATCGTAAGATCTTTCACAAAAAGAAGGCAATTACCTCTTCACAGCCGAATGTTCAATCTCGATTGCCGGGTAGTTGTTACAGAAACGAGCAACATCCGAAAGCATTGCTGTATCCATTCCCAAAATCTCGTTTCGCTCATCATCATCTTCGATCTCGAGAAGTTGGAAGATTGTCTCCACTTTCTAAATTTGAAACATTGATCGAATTCTTATTAAAAGTGTTTACCTTTTCTTTAGCTCTCTCAATAAGCGACGCCGAGGCGTGGGGTAGTTGCCGAAGATAACTTTCCGATGAGTACATTGCCTGTGTCAACATTTGGCAGCATTCCATTGCATGAATAGCCGCCGACAACCATCCGTTGCTACTCAACACATCAACGCACGCCTGAGCCAATCGCACCGCTTTCAGGACAATCTAAACGATCGGCATGGTGTTAACAAGAAAATGCAACAATACCTGTTCCGTATCTTTGTTGAGTTCGGCAGAGAGTTTTATTCTTGATAGATGAGCGTGCAAGAGGAGGCATACCTTTAAACCAGATTTTAAAAAAGTTCATAAACCTGCCATACCTTGACGGACGGATCAGTGAATTTCTGATTCTTCAATTGATTTGGTAGACGAGAGGCAAGTTGTTTCAAGATCTAAAGATCAAATTGTAGGTAAGCCATTAAGCATCACTAACCAAATCTTCACGATGACGCATCGGGATCTCGGAAAACTCGTGCGCCGACGAGAGGATCTCCAACAATGCTCGCATTTTTGTCTTTGGCTGCAGGGACAAGGAGAAGAGTTCTAAAATAGCAATGATTATCGTACTTGTTATGATATTTCTGCTAGTAAACTGACCAAGTGTTGTGTATGAGATATAATAATATGCAGCAATCATTCCCAAGTTCAGAGGCACCGTATCAATTTCATCTTTCACCGCAATACATTTTGAATTCTCAAGATCCTAAAAGACATTTATTAGCTTTACAAAACCCAAATCAACCGTACCTTTAGCGTATTCTCCACCAATTCTGAAAGCGCATCAGACAAGTGTCGATGGGTGACACCTTGCAAGTTGTAGTAGTTTGGATTTTGCGTCATTCGGCGATAGAGGAACGTCCAAGTGAGATACTAAAACGAACACAATTTAAGCTTTCAAAAACGACACCCACATCAATGGCATCCTGTTTATTCTCGATGACTTTAGTGACAATTTCGGCGTTGAAGTGGTCATGAAGTTGATGATCCAAATGGCTTTCGACTGGCAACGGTTCAAATAAGAATTTCTTGAAGAAATCACGCTTCGACGACTGACACATGAGAACACATTTGGCTAAAATAGAAAACATTGCTTATTTTTATAAAATTCTTTACCGTCTTGATCTTTATCAGGGCGATTTGCTAATCCAACCATATGAAGCACATCAGCGATTGGATAATCCTCGTAAACGTGATAACGACCATTGTAAAATTGTGTGTCCATAATGATCACGACATAGGCTTGCATGTTGATTTGATAGCACATCGTTCGTGGCACAATGCACACCTAGATTTGACATTATTATGCTATTTTCTCAACTTCCCTACCTGAATAGCTCCCGAATTGAATAAAGCTTGAACGGCGAGTACGTCCTTTGGCGAAGTTCCTTCATGCACAAATCCGACACCGCTCAACAACGTCTCACGAAGTGCCTTGTCCTAAAAAAATTCGTTTTGAGTAAGTTCAACTGTAAACATTTTCTAAAGTTCAAGTACCTGAATATTCTCCACAATTTTCCTGAAGTCACTGTCATGTTCGGAAATGTGCAAGAACCTGAAAAGAATTTTAAAGAATTAAAAAAAATTAAACTACCTTTGTGGTGAGTTATCTCCATGGGCCATAGTGATCAAATCCAAAGCAGTTGCATGAGTTTGTTGTCGCCCGGGCACAAAAATGAGAGCCGGCTTTGGGCGCAATTTTCCTCCATGTCGTGACACCGCTGTGTAGACTGGTCGCACCATCGCAGCAAGACGAGAAGCATTATGTGACAAGTTGTAACCCTAAATTAATGCTGTCTATAACATATTTAACAAATCACTACTTACCTGAAGATAAATCTCAAGTGGTAGAGGACGACAGCTGGGAGGAAAATTGAAAACTGATCCAGTAGGACATCCAAGCCAGGCACCTAAATATTGGAGATTGCAAATTGTTTAAGAGCTATGTTAAACTTACCAATATCCTTTGCATTGGCCAGTGATGAAGATAGGCCGATGATTCTCAATTGAGCGTCCATTTGTGAGGCCATGTAACGCATTCTCGAGCACACAACTTCCATGACAGGCTAAAGTAACTAGTTATTAAAACTCAATAAAACAATCACAAACCCCATTTGTTCCACCAATCATGTGCAAATCATCGACAATGAAGAGTCGCACGTTTTGCACAGCTTTACGTTGCTTCCAACGTCGAGAGACTGCATCCCAATGCTCCGGAATTGACACAATCAACCATCCTAAAAAGAAAGTAAGTTATAAAGTAAAATATAATGGTAGCCACCTTTAGCCAGTAGCTTCTGATCAAGCGTTGGTTCTCCAGTCAACATGACCACAGTCTTTTCCAAAAGTTTTCCGAGTCTATTTGACCAATCCTCATAAAGCTTCGTTGCCAGATCTTCATTCGGTACAACATAAACAACACGAGCATCCGGTGAGTTTTCGAAGTGTCTAAAAGCGTTTTAAATAAATTACTTACTGTTCAAAAACTGATACCTCAAAATGGCCAATTCGGCACAAGCCGTCTTTCCAGATCCTTGCGGAGCACAAATGAGCACATTGTCTTTTCCCTCGAAAACAGTACGGAATACTAAAAGTTTCTTTGGATCGAACAAAGAATAAAACAAACTTTGTGTTTGAATGGGGTTGAAGGTGCTGATTTTCTTCTCTTGGAAGACTTGCTCGAAGAGTGGATTGCTGAGATTCGAGATCGAGAGTGGCTGCAAATCGAGAAGTTCGGTGGGTGGTGGGTACTTCTCGGGCAAAATGAGGTGACGGAATGATATGGGCAGGACCTAAAAGAATAAAATCGTCAAATTTCAAAGAAAAGCCTACCGTTTCCGAGCCAAGCCATTTGTCACTAACAATGCGCACGAAGTAGAGTGGTGGAAGTGGATCAAATACCGGCACATACATCTTCACCAAGTGCTCATCGCCGCAGAATTTTCTAAAATCAAAGTTATCAATTCCATTTCAAACAACTGTTCAAAAAGTTCAAAGGTTGTAAAACCTACTGTTTCAACAAGAAATACTCATGATGCAGAATAGTTTCGCCGTCGACATCTTCAATGAAAATCCAGAATCCTTCGGCGTTTCCGTGAACTTTTTCATCCCAAACGAAATCCGGCGTAATCGTGAGCTCAATCTTAAGTGTCGATCGTGTGACTGGCTGGATGAGGGTGGTCATCTCAAGCTTTGGGATCTAAATTTGAAAAATGTACACAAAATAACTCAATAATACGCACCTGTCGAATGAATTTGTAGAGGGGCCGACCCATTTTTGGCATCTTGATTAATTCGCCCAACTGCACTTGATCCAAATCGTAGAGACTAAACAATAACTTACTAATTGAAAGACTAAACCAAGCAAACCGATCAAACGAGTAGTTCTTCTTGTCGATGCTGCGAACCACTTCCGATGGGATCTTCTTGAATTGATGCAGTGGGTTGAGTGATTGCCACTGGCGTTGATTGACCATTTTGCACAATCCGAGAATTTTCTGAAAGGCTAACATTTTAAACAGATTCAAGTTGTTTGCTACCTGCGCAAGTTGAGCCCAGCCTCTCCACAAAACAATCTCGAAAATCGCTCGAAACAGCCGACCAGCTGATTGAGCCACATAAACCATGTCCGATTGAAGTGCGAATCCATCAAGTTTCAGTTGAGAGATGTAAGCCTAAACAAGAAGTACAAATGGTTTTTAAAGTTACAAAACCTGCAGCAAAACGTTTGTCTTTGCTGATGTCTCCTCCAAGCTTTCTTTGATCGGAATCGGGACATGTTCGGCCAACTTTTGCAACTCCAGTTTCTCTTCTTCGCGAACAGCGATCAGCTTGAATTCCGAAGACAACGAGAAGATTCTAAAAGAAAAAGTAAGTTTCCATTTAAACTATACTCTCAATACCTGAAAAGATCGATTTCGGTGGCAGTTGGCTTGAGCAATGAATTGTAAGTCTGCATCGAGTCAAAAGTACAGTAGTAGTGTGAAGCAATGCGTCCAAGTTCAGTGGGCTAAAAATTTGCATAAGAAGCATTACAAACAGACTTATAAGAACGTACCTGAATGGCGCCAGTCTTTTTATCGTATTTGATGAGACTTCCCTTGTCGAGTTGTACACAAGCCGTGTGCACCAGGTCAGCACATCTTTGCTCCAAAGCCTCGTCTTCCCTCTAAATTTACTTTATATATTATCAAACTTAAGATTTTACTCCAGGTTCAGCATTTATCTCGTACAACTTCGGGTTCTTCACCATCCGCACATAGAGGAACGTGTACTTGATCCAAGTGACCGCATCAGCAGCATTATTGATTGTGCCGAGAACAATCTCAGCGTTCAACATGTCCGTCAACTTCGAGATCATTTGCGATTCAACGGGCAGCTAAAATTAATTAGACCGGTAGTTAATCAAAAATCTACCTGTTGATTCATCAACGATAGATAGTATTGCAATTCAGAGTGATGCGTGATCAGGATACCTTTGCCCTTCGAATCGAACTGAGGCCGCCCGGCACGTCCAAGCATCTAAAGGTTGAAATGGATATTTTGCCTGGTATTAAAAAAGCTGTTACTCTGGGGACACTTTTACTTTTCATCCCATAAGCAACCGGATTTACAACTGGACGTTGCGGCCATAAAATTTAAAAAACTTTTGCTCCCCCAGAGTTATATGCATCAGATCCTGATATACCTGCAATACATCCAACGCTCCAAGTTCAGTCCAGCGTCCCTTTTCCGGGTTGTAGATCTGCGTACCCTTGATGATGACAGTGTTGGCCTATAATTTATAACATTGTGTACAGAATTTTCCATTTTGGATAATATAAAATTCTAAAGGGTAACGTACAGGCAAGTTGACTCCCCAAGCAAGAGTGGCCGTCGAAATAAGCACCTGAACGATAAAATTATACCAAACCATTCAAATTGATATACCTGCAAATGCCGATCAGCAAACAAATCCTCTACAAGTGTCCTGTCGACTCGAGTCATTCCAGCGTGGTGAATGGCGAATCCGTATGGGAGAAGATCCTTGAGGTCAGTGTTTTTCACCTGAAATATTAGTTACTTTATCCAATATCCAAGCCTAGTTACGTTTTCAGCTTCAGTTCGCAGAATCTCCGTTGACGCCGAGCCTTCTTTCATGAACAACGAGAGTGTATCCTTCTCGAGGCAAGCATCACGAATAGCTTTGGCGGTTTTTGCAGTCTCCTTCCTAAACAGCAAATGATTTGATGATTTTAGGAGAAAGTTACCTTGAGTGTACAAACACAAGCACTTGACTTTTGCCTGCAAGTTCCATGATTTTCTCGTAGACAACATCGTTCATTGCCTAAAATCAATAAGTCAAAACTATCTCAAACATGTTACTAAAACAAACCTGAAACCGTTTCAAAGCTTTCTTCTCCGTGATTCCAATGTATAGTTGTTCCAGTGGTACCGGGCGATAACTGTTATCGAAGTGGTAGATGTGTTCCTTGTTCACACGAAGGAAGTGCGCAACGTCGGTGTAGTTAGGCAACGTGGCTGAGAGTCCCACAAGACGAACCTCATCTCGATTCTGCTCCATTTGACGCAAAGTCCTGAAAAATAAAACTTTCCAAATGGAGCGAAGAGTTGTTTTACCTCACTACCAAAGCTTCAAGCACTGGTCCACGGTCGTCGTGTAACAAATGGATTTCGTCAAGAATCAACAACTTAACCATTTGGTTGTACGCTCTTTCTCCGCCTAAAAACAAGCATCAGTAAAAAAAGGCTCTTGTGTAGTTTCCGGATATTTTGAATGGGTCGTCACACTTTGAAGGCATATAACTTTGTCCAGAGATCATATTTTTGTTAACTCAGAGTTGGGTCTGATTTTCTTCGACTGGATTATCCAATCAATCTCTATTTGGTATCATTTGAAAGCCCGAAATTTCTTCTGTACATATAAAAAGTTAACAAAAATATGATCTCTGGACAAAGTTATATGCCTTCAAAGTGTGATGACCGGTTCAAAATACCCGGAAACTAAGTAAGAGCCAAAAAGTTTTATTTTACCTTTTCTTGTCACAATATCGTATTTCTCTGGCGTGCAAACGATCACTTGGGTTGCCATGAATTGCTCCTTGTTCATCTGGGCGTCTCCAGTCATTTCACCAACCTAAAGAAAACACCCATAAAAGTCAAGAAGTTACTGCAAATACCGTAATTCCGTATGGCTCTAAACGTTTTGTGAAGCTGCCGACCATCTCTTGTACCAACGACTTCATTGGGGCCACGTAGATGCACTTGAATTCATCCAGCCTAAAAAAATAGTTGGATACATATGAAAAAATGAAACAAACCGAACACTTCCATCTTCGTTCAAATGTTTTCCAACTTCTCGGAGAATCGTCAAAACAGCAACATTTGTCTTACCAGCTCCCTAAATTTCATATACGAATCCCCTTGCTTCTAAAAACAAACCGTTGGAGCACAAAGCAACAAGTGTTCATCCGTTTCAAGCGCCGACTTGCAAAGTCTCGACTGGATCCTATTCAACGATTTGTATCCCTCAAAAGCCTTCTGTGCGAATTCCGGCAAGTCCGTGATGGCAACAAGTTTCTAAACGTTTAGTTAAATTAACTTAGAAAAAACTCTTACTTCGTTTGGATCAAAAGGCTTTGGTTTTAACGCAGGCACACAAACTTCCTCGTAACTCTTCTTTTGTTGACGGAATGAACCAGCTGGGAGAGTACAACTAGAACAAAATTTATTAGCTTTTAAGCGTAAAAAGTTACCTTTTATTGCTCATCAAATGACTTCCTTGGTGGAAAGTCAGCTCATCAAGGTCCAATTGTTTGCGCTGGTTCATCCAGGTTCCTAAACAACTGTTTTTTGGATTTGAAATAAACCGGATAATGTTTATTACATCACAAGTAGTCCTGCTTATCGTTACGAACGCCATTTTTACCTGCCATCACCGCATCTTCCGCAGCAGCCTCATTGGCTCTCTTTGTCGAAGCTTTCGATCTCTTTTCCCGCTCCGTTTCCACAATATTTGCATCAGTTTCTTCCAATTGTCCAATAATATAGTGTAGCTCAGGGTCAGCTCGCATCTTTTCTTCGAGCAATGGTCTAAATTTTAGATTACTTTCCCATAAAGCTCTAATCACATACCTTTCTTCCGGAGAAGCCTGCTTCAAGAGGGTGCACCAGAGAATCAAATGACGTTGAGAGCGCAACTTACGGATGAACTCAAAAGCTTCGAAGCCAAGCAGTAACACGAGGTCATTTTCGCACTTTCTGTCATCAGGAGCATCCTAAAACGAACATTTAGCTAAACTTAAGCATGTAATCTTACTCGCAGAATCGAAATAACATCTTTGACTTTCTCGTTAGCAATAATCGGGTCGTCAAAGTATTTGCCGAGTGATCGTTGAATCCAGTGGGCGTCAATGTCACGTGCATGAAGTTCGCCACGGCGCCGACGGCCCTCCTTAAATGCGAAAAGTTAGCCTTGTTTAAACTTCAACGATTCTTTTAAACTTTTACCTCCTCTTCAGCATCGATTCCTTCTCTGGCTTTGAGCGTCTCCGAGTACTCAGCTTCTTGCCCATCTTCATCCGTATCACTTTGCTCATCGTCACCTGAAAATACGCATCTATCTAAAAAGCTTTATATCGCGTTGCTTACGTCTAATTTCATCCGCCATATCATCTTGCTCTTCCTCAGAGTCAAAATGCACGTTCACGCCCTCGCTTTCATCAATCTCATCCTAAATGAATCGTAGAGAAATTCACGACATAATCAATCTACCTGTTCTTGGTTTTCCTCATCAATTGAGAAATCGGTGATCTTGCGAGCCAAGTTGATCAATAGTGCTGTTCGCTCATCAGATAGAGGGCCCAGGAAAGCCTCCACCTAAAATGAAATTGCTAAGCGAAACCAAGTAAATAACACTACTTCTTTCTTCTTGTTTTGCTCTCGAATCTTTTCCGACTTCAACACACTGAGCACCTCTTCGGCGGCACCGCAGTAAACTGCGCGTGGCTAAAAATTAAATTGAGTTTCACTAGTGTTTTAATAGACTGTCTTTACATAAAAGTTACTATACCTGATCTCCTAGAGCGTCTTGAATGAAATCAAGAATCACTTCGTACGTTTGCCTCGTTTCCTGTGTTCGTGGTCGATAGGACCCCATCATTTCGTCGTGTGTGTCCGACAAAAGAGAAGCCTTCGTTGCTCCACCACGAGAAGGTTTTTCTTCTTCCTTTTTCCTAAAGTAAAACATTTAAAATCTAGCACAAATAAACATACTTTTTATGTTTCTTTTCCTCTTTCGGTGCACGTTGTCGTAGATATTTGTCTCCCATCTTTGTTCCTGAAAAAAGAAATAAGTTGAAAACACCAAACTAGCTACCTCGTAACGATCGATCACTCAACGCCATCACCTCTCCGGTGGCCTCATCTCGTCCCCTCCGATCCGTCAAGGAGTAGTCGACTTGGAGTACAAGATTGGAATTCTAAACAAGCAATGTTAGGTATGCTTTGCTTTCACGAGAGTATGTTTAACTTTACGGCTTCAAAAGTATCACAAACCTGTCTGTACTCATACTGCTGATTTCTGGCGATCTCGTCGGCCATTTTTCAGACTCACGTTTGAATACCTAAAATTTACTCAATAAACTCTTGATTGAGCAATGCAAAAAAGGAAAAGAAGCGATAACAAAAAAAGGGCACATACTAAAATATGACTACACAGTATCGACCAGTGTGAAAGAAACGAGATCAAAGTCTATACAAAACACAAAAGGCGAAAATTTGTGGAGCAAAAATCACAAAAATAAAATAAATTCTTATACCTCACTATATTTACAGCTACTTTTCCAAAAATTAAAGCTAACCTAAAGATTCTATATAATCCTAAGCCTAAATTATCTCTTCTGCGATTCGTCTTTCGTCGAGTTGACTGTGCTGGCTGGCTTCGGGACGACTGCTTTCTCCAGAGTTTTCTTTAAATTCTCGGCTCCTTTCAGCAGATAGCTTTCATCGCGGCGACTCTTTTGGACTGTCATCTTGTAAACATCGCCATTTCCATCCACATCCAGCACCGAGTATCCATCGTACCAGCTGAGGTTCTTCAATCGGTAGTTGAAGCGAAAGAGCAGCGGGTTGAAGGCCAATCGCAGCCACGACACGTACTTGATCCTCCATCGCAGACGCACCGTGCCGTCCTCGATTTGTGGATGACAATCGACGCATTCCATCTCTAAAAAATAAGAATTACTAAAGTTTGCATCATAGTTATTTAATCTCAAAGCTATCTAGGAGGCTGATAACTCATAAAGTAGACTAAACTCAAGTCAAAATCCACCTTTTTATTTCAAGAACTTTATTAACAGCTAAATCTCAATAACTAGGTTTAGTATTAGTGGAACGAATTAGCTATGGATATACTTTTAAAACCTCACCAATATGCGGACATGCCATCTTTAGCATTACTGAGAAGAATCCAAAATGGTGCATCATCATGTCCCGTCCTCGAATCGTTCTCCCGATGATTTGATTCTCCAGCACGACATCTCGATGGTAGAAAGTGTAGTCGATTCGTTGTCGGAAGAAATGCGGTGTTGTGTCGATGAGCCTCGTTTGAATATGCTCGAGTTGCCACGGCGTGGGCTTCTCCTTCGAGTAGTCGATGTCGGAGAGGCGTCTCAACGAGGTGAATCGCGCGCATCGTCCCATCACCAGCAAATGGACCGTCCGCGATATTGTCGACATCTCTGAACGTAAAGATTTAAATAAAGCGTAAAGTTCAACTAAAGGTATTAGGCTGTCCAGAAAATCTTTTCGTTTTCGCCACACTTCCGTCGAAAAATAACAAATTTACCAAAATTAACCTATGGTTTACTCTAAATAAAGTGTTTATTGTTCAATTTCCCAACTTTTAAAGTCAATTTGAGTTCACTTTCAAGCAAATTCGAGAGTGAAAGAGCGTGTTTTTCGTAAAAATCTATAAAAGCCTCTAAGAAGAAATTGGCTGAATCAATTTCTCTGAAAATTTGGCTATGTATCAAACTTTTTGTGCTCTATCTTTTACCTATTGACACGAAAGATAGGTTTCCTTAGCTAAAGTGTCTAAACCGCATCATCGAGCCGTCGCCCTTTTTGACTACCCGACTCCCAAAAAAAATTCAGACATAAGACATTTTAAACCCGCTTTAATGCTATTTTGCAGAAAAATAATTGACTTTTCTAATGAAACAAACCGTAGCTTAATTGGTGCGTTTGTTAGTTTTAAACGAAAGTACGAAAACGAACGAAAAGCCTTTCTGGACAGCCTAATACTAAAGGAGCGCGGAACCACAAAAAAATCACATTCATTTGGCATCTCGTTAATAGACATATTCAGTCGAATATCTTGAAACGAATGTCGATGAAGTTGAAATTTGTATTAAACGCTTTAATTTAAAGCTTGCATTTCCTAATTCAATTTTCAATTGAATAATTGAATAACAATTGGCTTTTGTGAGACAAGTTTCAAAAAATATATATAGAAAGCTATAAAATCCAAAGCACATAAGAAATAAATTATATAAAAATCAAAAACTTTTTTTTGATGCGGCCGAATTTCTTAACAATGTAACAACGTTTTTTCGTTCAAAACAACAAAATTCGGAAATAGAAAGTTGGGAATTATTTTTGAATCGAGACATAACAGCACGAAGTAAGAACGAGCTTCGTACGCGCGCGTAGCTGCTAGGCTCTTGATTCAAGGAATCTCAACAATTTTCTACTTGCGTCTAACGCTTCACGCGTTAGAAAGGATCTATAGTTTAATGTTGTTGTTGAATGTTGTTGAGTGAATGTTGAATGTTGAACACAAAAAACAACAATAGCAACAATTCTTGTTGGAAAGAAAACTCTGATCTCTGATTGATCGAGAATAAAGGCGCCACTTGATTCCTGATTTTTCTTGACTTTTACCTAACATCAAACTTATTTGATCTGATTTCGTTAGAATTTTGCTCAGGACTCCAATAAACTCAAAACTATCAAGTTCTCTTTAAAATTCATGTCGATAGGATGAAAAAATGATGAAAAATCGACTCCTTTTTGCCAGTTTTCAATCATTTTTTTCTAGGCGCTGGTTGATTTTAGAAATGTGTTATATCTCAAAAAAAACCACCCATCCTCTCTACTTTAATTTCATGCCCAAGCGCACAGAAATAAGCGTACTGGTGTCGAGATATGAGCGTTTGTTTGAAAGTAAACTTGGACTATGCGATGCTCCTATAGGGGCCGTTCTATTAGAGTTTTTACGGTAATATCCTATTCAGCTTCTCTCGTCGAAACCCTTTGCAGCACGCTTTAGAAAACTACTTATACGTTAAATCTAAAAGAGTTTTCTAACAGGAAAAATACGGTAAATCAGATGCTGAACTAGAGAAGCACTTTACTATCAGCGTTCAATTGCAGGCATACGGTAGATCTTTCTGATTCATTCACACGCAGATCAAAACAATAAATTTGTTGCAAATGTGCCACCAAAGAGTTTTGAGTGTTGCTGGCAACAACGGCAGAAAAAATGTGAGAGGAGAAAAATCTCCATAGCCTAATTGGAAATGCTCCTGGCGTTTATAGCTGGCAATTACCACCATGTTTCCGCCATTCATAGCTCAATTTTGAATTGTTAGTCAGCTATCTCAAGTACTCAACCAAAGTTCATTCCCTTTTTTATTTTAAACATATTTCCATATTTATCCCTTACACTTCATTTATTAAGTTAACGAATCGAAGCATATTATTAAGGTTTTCCCTTTTTCGGTTTATTTCTGTCGGTTTGCGTGTGCTTCTGCTTGGCACTCTCATCCACTTCACGTACGACAGTCCTGAAATGATTAAAGGCTCTTAAATCATTGGGTAGTTAAACTTTAATATATCGAGAAATCCGCTTAAATGATTTATACAACATGTAGTAAGTACTACTCTAAAACCAACTCTTTCCGATGTGATTTCTCCTCTTTCTTCGTTGATCGAGGCGATTCCAGAACTTTTGGTTCCACATTCCTATAATTTAAAAATATCTCACCACAAAAAGTGTTTCAACCTTTCCAAATCCTCGTCCTCTTCATTGACCGATGCTTCCGAATACGCATCCCAATCAGCACGGTGATCAGGATTCATCTAAAAGAAGCAATAAGAGAAAAGGTTTATCGAAATTTCAAAACGAACCGGTTTTCCTTGTGGTAGTTGCGGGTACTGCCAGATAGATGGTGGTGCATCGTAAAGCAGATCAGCCGAGTAGGCGGAAAGACGCAACGCTGGTGGATCACGAAATGGAGAGGGTAAACGATTCAACACATCCTCCACCTAAGAAACAACTTTTGCAAGGATCTTCAAATAAATTTTTCAGCAAAACCTTCTTTTACCTCTCTCGGTCGAATGTCGATTCTCTCCGGAGGAATCACTCGAAGCAACGAGTGGATCGTCGCCACAAAACAAGAACCGATCACATAGACGCAAGCTCTAAAGATTAAGTTCAAAGAATTCGTGTAAAACATCACTCACCTAAAGCAATTGCACTGTGCTTCCACTTTTCGAATGTAGCCGCGCACATTCTCCTTGTCAATCTAAACAAAAATGCAAAATTTTGACTAAAAGCAGCAACTTTAATCTGTTGATTGCTCGGGTAATCGTCCACTTTTTCCGTTTTTCTCAAAAAGTGCGCAAATTCAGGCTGAATCCAAGATGGTGAAAGTACGTTCATCCAAAAACCTACCTTGCACTTGTCCCGATCCACAATTGAGAGTTGAAAGACCTCGCTGAGAGTCGAGGTAGCCTCGAAAGCGTAGCTCGCATAAGGCAACAAGTTCAATGAGGCAGAATGGGCGACCAAACTCTAAAAAATGCAAACGTTCAGCCATACTAATCTCATCTTTACCTGAATATTTTTCATCAACCACTTGTTTAACTTTGCCTCAATTTCGAGCAAGGAGCCGCACATCTGGAAAATTAATAGCTTTATCAATCAATAAATAATGATAACATTGTTTAGTTTGCTGGTTGATAATTCTTTTTCTATTTCTATTTAATTCTATCAAGTACCTGAACAAGCGTCCTCATTCGATATAACACTGCCATCTCGACCAGGGTCGCTTTCTGCTCACCGGCACTAAAAATTCCATTAAAAATATGTATCCAAACATCTACTTTGAATGAAGACCATCGTCGTCCCAGTTGCGATTCGTTGCTTCTAAAAAACCAAGCATCGGTACGAAGAATCAAGTGCCTAAATAACCTTGTAGTCGCAATTTCAACCGTTGATGCTCGGTAAGCTCCTCTTCTTGCGGCCCGGCTTTCAATTCTTCACGTTCTTTTCCCGAGAAGTCAAGTGTTCCATTTAAAGTGAAAGTATAAACAATGAAAACTATTGTTTACTGTCATAAATCTATAAGAATTAAGCTATTCACCGGATTTCAGCTTGTTTCCAGTAACATGTTCAATGAGCGGTTTCACGTAGAGATCGTTGATCGAGCGAGTGTAAGCTTGGAGAGCGGTTTGCTAAAATATAAAGTGTAACTAACGCAACAATTTTATGAGTCAGAAAGCAATGCTAAGAATTAGCTAACAAGATTGCTATGGAACTCAATTTAGCCAATCCCCAACCTGCCATTGCAGAAAATATATAGCTGCTGCCAGCTTCAGCCCGGCTTCCCCAGTTGTATGCGTCGTCGACGGCGCATTGTCGGGCGCTATCTAAAAATTATCAATCGTAAAATGGAACTAATACCAAGTTTCCAAACAATCTAAGCTACACAGCAAACCAATCTTTTCCCGCTTTTTAAAAAATTGGGCTTTTCGATCTTCTTTCGATGTGCCGCTAACGATTTTCGATAAAAAAACGCAGAAAAAAAGACAAAGCTTCTACCGCTCCATTTGAGAAAAATATTACAGCTCCACAAATTTAAACGTAGTCTGTTGTTGCACAATTCAAACTTATTCAAATCCACCTTCTCTGTTTTTGCATCTTCCGACTCTCGACTGCTTCTCTCCAGCGGTTCGCGGCTGCTTTGCGCGGCACGTATTAGCCTCTAAACAAATACTTTTGTTAAGTTTCTAGATCTTACTAAAGAATTCCATTTTAGCATTAGAGCTAACTTTAACTTAAAGCTTCAACGAAAAAACAAACCTTTGACGATTTCTTCTCGGGTTCCTTGCCGCTGCTTTTTGTTGATTTCTGGTTTTTCCCTTGATCGGGAGTCTAAAATAAACTTTTTACCAAAAGATGCTTTTAAGAGTAAAAGATCTAGACATATAAAGGTAAACAAAATAGCCACCGCTATGAGATGAAGCCTAAAACAAAAAAAAACAAACAAAACAAAACATTTTATTCAAAATTCATCCAATTTGAGCTTAAGAGGCATGAAATCTTTACTTTTAAAGTATTGGCACATGTTTTATGCACCAAAAGGGCTGTCACGTAGTAAATTTTCTAATTACTGTTAGCTTTTTGTGTTGAAATCAAAAACTCAACCCTAGCCTGGAGCTTGGTCAAAAATCTGCTATTGTACCATGAAAATTTGTAACGATCATGCTAAATCTATTGCTAAAATCTCTATTTCTTTAAGATTCTTTAAAAAAATATAAACAACACGCACTCACCTTCACCGATTTCGACTTCTTTTTGTTGCTTTGTCGATCCGAAGCACCGGCCGCCGTTGGGCTCACTTCGCGGTGGTATCGTTGCTGAAAAAGTAAACGAATAAACAATGTATAAACAACCCGAACTTCAAGAAAAACAAGAAAAAACAAGAACAAGAACAAGAACAAGAACAACACGGGTATAAAAACTATTCCTTTTGCCCTATTCCCCTAATTTATCCTGTCTATAAGCACGAGAAAACACAAATTAGGCACCGGAAAGTTCTTGGAGCCGAGAACAATAAAAAAAAATATTAAATCCCACCTCATAATACCATTGTGGATCCATATTTGTGCAAAAGATGATTCAAATAAAAAAAATTGTTTCCCATGAATTTACTTTAAGCCCCTGATGCAAATTTTACTTTCGTATGCTTATTTCGTCATGCCTTCCACTTTAAGCTTTTTGATTCGAATTTCCGCACAAATCCCTCAGGCTTAGAGGTTCGTATCGTAAAAATAACCTCAAAAGTTTAGTTTGATAACTATTAAATCGGTCAATAAAATCTATTCAGCACAGTTACAGTCAAAAGCTATCATAGTCATGCTGTTATGCTAATGATAACAGCTTTTTGCTTGAAGCACTGTTTAGAACGTATCATACGTTAGTACTTCATACGTTAGTTCTCTAAAAGATGCGCTTTAGAGAAAGCTATCGTACTATTATACTCGTTGCCCGCTAAGTAGACCTGCTTAACGAGTTCGGGCAAAATTTTCAGACAGTCTGCCTCGCTCTTCGATTTTTTTACTGCTCAAAGCTCCATCGAGCATGAAACCCAGTTTCCCCGCAAGCCCTTATTCTAGGCTTCATTTTGATACTAAATATGGCTAAGTTCTGTTTTGTCATTCTTTAGATTTCGATCATTTTAGATAAAAATATTTCTGGACTCGTTAAGCTTATCGAATCCGGCGAAAGATTGATCGAAATCTAAAGAATGACAAAACAGAATCTAGCCATGTTTAGTATCAAAATGAAGCGTAGAATAAGGGCTTGCGGGGGGACTGGGTTTCATGCTCGAAGAAGCTTTGGGCAGTAAAAAATCGAAGAGCGAGGCAGACTGTTTGAAAATTTTGCCCGAAGTCGTTAAGCAGGTCTACAGCATGTGTCTTTTTGAAATGATCAAAAAGATACCGGCATTGCGGTAGAACATCATCTTTTAAAAAAACATCAAGCATTTCCCGGCAATCGACCCCAAAACATACCCTATTTTCTCTTGACCAATCAACCGTCCTTTCTCCCAATGATTTCAATTCTCATAATCCACCTGGAGTCTCTCCCGCGCCCGGAAACCCTTCTCTACCCCAGCCTTCCCCCAACTCCATTAGCAATTATCGCTCCATTCTACCAGTTTCAATCTCTTCTCTTGTTATTGGTGCGTGTGAAATCGGGAAAAGCTTCAAACAGCCGCCACTTGATCGGGTCAATTCTTAGGAAAACCCACAAATACTCAGCTTGACTACAGTACGTTCCTATTTGCATTGAATTTGCGTCGCTTTTTCGTCTCACTCTCTCCCCCTAAATTTCTTTTTTATTTTTTTAGATAGAACTTGTGTTTGTAGCTTCTAGACCTTTCAGGTTTAGAGTTTTGCTTTCGTTCTTTCGGGATTTGGTGTTTCTCTTCGCGCACACTGTTTTTTTAATAGATATCGTTGTTTTTTTCTTTTCGTAAACCATAAGATTATTAGGTTGTGTACTAAATCTTGCACCATTCATTTCATTATCTAAATGATACGAGTCTCAAACTATCAAATACCGGTTATTGGACATTTGATAATCAAACATTTATTTAGCTCTAAAAACCGAATGCACTAATGCCAATTATCAAATGTTCAGTTATCAAATGTCTGATAATCCTAAATATCAAACAATTTCTTTCATTATAAATATTTACTGTTTACTTTTTGTTCTTTTAAAACAATTTTTAGTATTTTAGAATAATCTGCAAGAAAGAAAGCTGATATTTTTTAAAATATTGAAAAATGAGCAAAACCGCTAAACGGATTATTCTGAAATTTTGGTTATATACTTAATTTTGATGCGCTATCTTTTTTTATTTTGTCGTAAACGTACCGTAAATACTGTAATAGTACCCCACCCCCATAATGACGGTGCGGAGTTTATGCGTAGTCTAGCTTTGAACGAGTTTTTCTCGACACTGGTTTATGCTACAATGCGCGCTTAGTTATCAAAAAATTAGCTGAAATTCAGGGCTTTTTTTTGATACCAAAGACGCATTTTTTGAAAGTACAGGCGCTTTGAAAAAAATGAAATACTAAAAACTGCGACTACGCGACTGTACGAGGTGGGTACTGTTACAGTATTTACGGTAGGTTTACCTAACTTTTCATAATCAATAAAGTAATGACACGTCTAATATAAATAAAGATTTTGTGCTGAAACCAGTGAAACAACGAAAGCGTTCCCCCCCCAAAAAGGTAGTGTTTTCCTCCCTTTCTTCCAAAATGTGTTTCTCTTTTTCTTAAGTGTTGTTGGTTGCCCGGACACCCCCATTTCACGATTTCATTTCCCCCAAAACCTTTCCCCACTTCACTAGGGTCATTTCAAATTCCATGCTACTGAATTCCTAAATGTTACAGCTTGCTTACATTTATCTGCTAAAATTTTTCCTTTAAAATAATACTAAAACGTATTTTTTTCTTGTCACTTTGAAAACGCGTTTCCCCTCAAAAGTTTTCCCAGGGGCGCCTCTTTTCTTTTTTTGACCCCCAATTATCTGCGGCCGGCTTTTCACCGGTTCTGTACAGTTTTTGCAGTTTTGTTTTAACTCTAATCTTTTCATTTTTTTTATTTTATAGATATTTTTGCGTTTTTATCTATAGCTAGTGATAGATTTTCACTGGTTAGAGTCATTTTTCTCATTTCATTTCTCTATTTTATAGATATTTTTGCGTTTTTATCTATAGCCAGTGATAGATTTTCACGTTTAGAGTCATTTTTCTCATTTCATTTCTCTATTTTATAGGTATTTCGTGTTTTTACCTATAGCTAGTGATAGATTTTCACTGTTTAGAGTCATTTTTCTCATTTCATTTCTGATTTTATAGATATTTTTACATTTTTATCTATAGCTAATTGATAGATTTTCACTGTTTAGGGTCATTTTCCTCTCAATGTAGCAGAAAATCTACCGATGTCCTGAGTGAAAAGGTGAGTTAACTCAAATTTTCTAGGTTACGCTAACTGGGAAATCCTTTAGAGATAAGATTACGGTAGGAGACCGCTTAGCTTTTTAAAAACCGCGTTACGGTAGCCATGGCACACGCCACTTATCGTTACTATGTGGGCTTCAGGGCAACAAATGCCGAGCGTTTACCGGACCTACGATCGTACCTTGAGTTGTAAAAACGTACCCTTTCTGGCACATCGAGAGATAATGAATGAAATTTCCCTTTTAGAACTATCCGATGCTCATTTTCTTCAACGTCTTTCTTTTCCTCTTCACACTGCCACATCTGATCGTCTCAACGCGTTGTTACTTCTGTACTTCGATGCTCAGTAGTGATATCGATGATAGCGCAAAAGAGGCGATGAAAAATCTCGTCTATACGAAGTAAATAATCGACTAAATCATTTTCTAACCGTACAAATTACCGTAATTCAAAACTCCCTCTCATCTCAATTTTCTAGTTTCAACCCTCCGCCCACTCACGAGCTGTGTGCTCTTTCGGATGATATCGAGTTCCGAATCGTTCAACAAATCGATTGCGGTGATGATCGATGTGTTCTCGTGAAAGCTTTTGAGAAAAGTTTGACTTATTCGAATTGATAATTATAAAGACTCTTCTCAGAACGAGTTCTAGGTGAAAAAAACCCTTTTTACCCCTTCTTAACATGACTCTAGACAATGCCAGGAGATCAGGCAAGGTCAATTTAGCATCAAGTTTGAAGTCAGACTTTGGTCTAGCTTCTTCTGGACCCGGGAGACTGTAGGCTAGAAAGCAGAAAAATCAGCCCAGCATCTAGTCTCTATTGGAACCGTATTGGATCAAAAAAAGAAACGTATTGGAACCGTATTGGATCAAAAAAAGAACCGTATTGGAACCGTATTGGAATTCTCTTGGAATGCCTTAATAGCTCAACAATAGCCAAATAGCTAAGCAATACCCAAATAGCTATCCATTCCACTTTCAGATCTGCACTTTGTAATGCGCGGATGCGAGAAGTCGCTCTCACGGGTGGCCCCGCTTGAACCGTAAGTTGAAAAAGAAAGAGATATGGCTTTAAATGTTAACAAAATCTAGATAGATTCATGCTCTAATTATCGTTTTATTTTTCAGCTCTTGCACCACCGGTTCCCCATCGGTTTGCGTCTGTGAATCGGATCTCTGCAATCACTCGCCGATCTCGAATTCTCCCGCAAATATCGCATTAATTCTTTTGTTTATCGCATTCATGTGGTGAGAATAAAAGTTTCGATTTTTTTATTAGAAGAACAAATAACGAACAAATAGAGTTTTTCTTTGTACTTTGTGCTTAATTGTATTGTAATTGTATTGTACTTGTATTGCTTAATTGTAAACGCTACCCATCTAGCGAAATGAATTCCTCAGACTCAGGCTCAGACTCAGGCTCAGACTCAGGCTCAGGCTTAGGCTTAGGCTCAGGCTCAGGCTCAGACTTAGTTTTAAAAGCTGAGCTCACCCTTTGTACGTCAAATAGCAATAGGAAAGGAGTAAGAAAATCGTGCTTTTCATCGTGAGAAGGCAGACGGTAAGGCTATAATTTAATTCGAGTTACAGTAACTTGTAGAAACGCTACAGCAAGCTACAATAGTTTAGCTTCTTTAGCTACAAGTGTCTAGCTGAGCCTGAGCCTGGGCCTGAGCCTGAGCCTTATTCAACCCTTATCCATTCGTTCATTCACTTTAATCAATCATTTATTTTTTAAAAAATCGCTTTAAAATTGTTGAATAATTTGGTTTTTCTTTGATATCATTTCCTTTTTTGTCTTAGATATCATTTCTTTTATTGAATCGAGCATGTTTTCGATTCTTTGACAGGGCGCATCGTCTAAATTGAGAACTTTTATAATCAACAGAGAAAAATGGATAGATGAAATCAAATAGAAATGATTCTAGTTTCAGAAAACCCCACCTCATTCTCCTTTTTCACGTCGGCGAATTCGGTGCCTGACTCCAGCTCGTCATACCCATCAATGCTGTTTAAATTCACGTCTAAAATGTAGAAAAACTACAGTGCTTACCGTAATAAAAGTCTTAAAAGAACTTTTCAACAGATCACTCTAGCTTATCCACTTTTTTGAGTCATTAAACAGTTATTAAACAATCATTAAACAGTTATTGAACAGTTATTAAACAGTTATTAAACAGTTATTAAACAGTTATTGAACAGTTATTAAACAGTTATTAAACAGTTATTAAGCAGTTATTAAACAGTTATTAAACAGTCATGAAACAGTTATTAAACAGTCATTAAACAGTCATTAAACAGTTATTAAACAGTCATTAAACAGTCATTAAACAGTCATTAAACAGTTATTAAACAGTGCAGTCATTAAACAGTCATTAAACAGTTATTAAACAGTTATTAAACTCACCGCGCTCTCTGTGCACGATCTCCCAAACACTTTTCTTGTTGCTCCGAAGAAGAAAATAGGTATCCATCTAAATGATCATCAAAGAATTCAAATTTTATTTAATCCTTAGATAGATAGATAGATATAGACAGACAGATACATAGATTTTTCATAGCCTTTACTATAAATGGAATCAATTTAAATTCCCCTTCACCTCTCCTTTCCCCTTGATCGTGATCCGACCGCGTGACTGAAACTCGAAACGGCCTGTTTCATTAGCGCATCTAAATTTCGAGATTTTCTAGAGTTTCCTGTATTTATATATATATATATCTATTTCTATGAATGATTATCTTAAAATACATTATCTTTCGTACTTAAACGCTCGATCGCTGCAATGAATTTTCCCGGGCAATCCGTGCGTTTCGAGTCGCGATGCCATCGTGACCGTCTCGCCGAAAAGACTGTATCTGAAAAATTATCGAATGAAAGTACTGTAAGATTTTAGAAATGAGATTTAGTAAATATTGGCTATCATCCAGCCACTCAAAAGGGCTAGCATTGGAATCGAAATTGAATCTTCCCGTCACCGAAACTGGCTCGCATTTTTTGGTAGTTTGATGGAAAAATGATGATTGGTTGTGTTGGTGATTGATTGTGTTGATGATTGTTGTGTTGATGATTGTTGTGTTGATGATTGTTGTGTTGGTGATTGTTGTGTTGATGATTGTTGTGTTGATGCTTGTCGTGTTGATGATTGTCGTGTTGGTGATTGGCGTGTTGGTGATTGTCGTATTGATGATTGTCGTGCTGATGATTGTCGTACTGTTAAAGTTGCTCAAAACCCACAAAATCATCATCAACTGATACCTCCAAATCAAAAGAAGATTGAAATGGAAAGCAAGAATCCCTTTTTTCAAGAATTCTAGCAAGAATCCTAGCAAGAATCCTTTTTTCAAGAATCCTTTTTCCCCAAAGGATTGCTGATTTTTAGTGACTGCAAAAGGAAAGACGCCACTTGTTTTCATCGAAAAAAAGCGTCAAAATCAATGCACAAGTCTATCAAAGGTTCTCAATAAAGTCTCAATAAAGTTATTCAAATTTTTGAGTGAAGACTTTTCTATAAGATCGATAAGATCTATAAGATAAAACCTCGGCATTTTCGAGCCAACCACCCCAGCGACCAGCGGACCCGAGTGGATGCCGATTCGAATTTGCAATGGGCTTTTCGCGATCGGATCCAATACTGAACGAGCTTCCCAAATCATTCCTGAAAGAAAACTCATTGAATCTTCTAATTAATGACTTTCACTACGTTTTCAACACTTTCCTTATTAAGGAATCTTTTGAAAAACGTTTTAAACAGGGGTAATCAGGTCCAGGATTTGTTAGATAGATCAGATCAAAGTTTCCATGTCTGACTTGGATCTTGTTTCTCGCTCTAGCCTTGCCTAGATTAAATTGGCTTCGGAAAAACACTTCTAGAACAACTCATTTTCCAAAACCAACCCAACGCTGTGTGACAAATGAACTCGCAGTGCTGCGGGATGAACTCAGGAATCCCGCAAACTGTCACATAGCTATCGCCAACTGTTTCCACTTTGTAGACCTGAAAAGATAAGTCATAGCTACAGTAAGATAGATAAGCTGGCAGCAGGCAATTAGCTGTCAGCCAGCAGGCAATAAGCTGGCAGCAGGCAGCAGGCAGCAGCTGGCAGCAGTAGGCAATTAGCTGTCAGCTGTCAGCAGGCAATAAGCTGGCAGCAGGCAATTAGCTGTCAGCTAGCAGCAGGCAATTAGCTGTCAGCTGGCAGCAGGCAATAAGCTGGCAGCAGGCAATTAGCTGGCAAGCCATTTACCTTGTCAGATAATTTTATTTTCGAAAGCTTTTTAGAAACCTGATGAAACGAGATCAATCGATCGAAACGCGTGAACAAATCGTTTAGCAATTGCACGATCTCTTTCGGGTTTGTTTGCGGGAGGATTGAGGAGAAATTTGGAATATCCGAGAACATCACCGTTGCCTCCTCGTACTCGCCTGAATCATTGCATGTGCCAGAAAGGGTGCTTTTTTCATCAACAAGAACAAAGTAAACAAATTGCACTTACAAGGCTCAATGTGTTCCCCATTTAGCAGTTGATTGGCAATCTGTGTGGGCAACATATCTTTCAAAATGATGTCCGAGCGAGAGTGCTCGACCTGGAAAACTGTCCTGAAGCTGTTGCAAGCTACAGTAATCCGTTAAGAGCTACTGTAACCTACAGTAACCCGCTAAAGGCTATTGCAAGCTATAGCAACCCGCTAAAGGCTATTGCAAGCTACAGTAACCCGCTAAAAGCTATTGCAAGCTACTGTAACCCGCTAAAGGCTAGTGCAAGCTACAGTAACCCGCTAAAGGCTAGTGCAAGCTACTGTAACCCGTTAAAAGCTGTTAGACACTGTTCACCCCCAAGGATTCCCCCAATTCTACCTCCAAATCCTTGGCCATTGCCTCAAGTTGCTCGTTGTTCGCTTCAAGTTGGAGACTAAAATGAAATCCTGGATGCTTATCGAATTACAATGAACTTCTAGTTTAGAAGTTTAGAAGTTTTCTAAATATTCCCCTCAACCAACTTCACTTCCACATCGCTAAGTCGTTGCTGATTGAGCAGAATCAAATCGCGTGTCGCGTCGTGAAGCGGCATCGCTGTCAACCTAGAAGCAAGGCGATTTAAACACATCGAGGCCAAATCCAGGCCAATTTCTAGCCTGGATTTGGTCGAGATCGGCGCCAAAACGCTACAAATCGGCGGCTAAAGACAAAAGACTAAAGAGTTCAGCTCCAAACCTCATCCCGAAATCCATTAACTCTTGAATAGATGTCACATACGGTGAGCAGAGGTAAATGATAAATTTCCCCGACGCCAATCTCATCATTTGACCCTTCAGCTTTAAATGAGCACCGGATGAATAACCCTCGCCAGCCTGAGCAGCTCTGGAAATGTTTTTCTATAGCTAGAGTCGTACTACAAATTAAACTACACTACAAACTACACTACAAACTACAAACAAACTACAAACGTAAACTATAAACGCTTGTAATTTGGTTTTAATCTTTTGAATTCGCATGTTCTATAGCTTAAAAAAAAGAGAATCTCAAGAGCTTTCAAATGAATTAAAAAACCTTCAAAAATCTTAATTCTAAAGAAAGTTACAGTGGTTTGTAGTTTGAGTACGCGCGAGTAAGATCCTTTTCGACTTTCGACCACTGTAACTTTCTTTAGAATTAAGATTTTTGAATTTTCTTTAAGCCATTCGAAAGCTAAAGAGATTCTCTATTTTTTCTATGCCTATTGGATTCGCAGTTTGATTTTGGGCACTATAAATCTACGAAAGTGACGAAAGTGACGAGAGTGACGAAATGTTACACTGTAAACGCTCAAAAACGTGCATCAAATCTTCCGGATTCACATGTTCTATAGCTTAAAAAACAGAGAATTTCAAGAGCTTTTGAATGGATTAAAGCACATTCAAAAATCTTAATCCTAAAGAAAGTTACAGTGGTCGAAAGCCGAAAAGGATCGTACTCGCGTGTACTCAAACCACAAACCACTGTAACTTTCTTTAGAATTAAGATTTTTGAATGTTCTTTAAGCCATTCGAAAGCTCTTGAGATTCTCTTTTTTTTAAGCTATAGAACATGTGAATCCGGCAGATTTGAAGCAAGTTTTTGAGTAGAACATGCCAATTCAATATAGATTTAAACCAAATTACATGCGTTTACAGTGTAACACTTCGTCATTTTCGTAGATTTATAGTGCCTAAATCAATTGCGAATCCAATAGGCACACTTGAATTTGTCAATGATTGCTGATAACTTTCGAAAAAGTATGTCTCACTCAGCCTCGCGTTGCCGTCGCAAATCGGTGGGCGCCGTGCGCACTTGTAACACGAAAACGGCGTTGATGAAATTGCACACCTAAGGCATTTTAAAACGTTTTTAAAACGAATTCATTTTTCTAAAACCCGCTTCCCTCTACCGTATTCTTGTCTTTATTTTCTTTTATCTAATCTTTCTAATCTTTCTAATTTTAAACTCAAAACAAAACCAAACGATCTACCGGCTTTTCAATAAAGATTTTGAAATTCGAAATGATACCAATCATTTAGAATGACTTGCAGCTGCAAGTCAGTCCAATTTGGTGCAGAGCAGCTACGCAGAAAATGTAAACGTTTTAGAATGTTTTAAAATCCTTATATACAGTATTAGAGCTAGATCTAGAGCTAGATCTAGAGCTAGATCTAGAGCTAGATCTAGAGGTAGAGCTAGAGCTAGAGCTAGAGCTAGAGCTAGATCTAGAGCTAGATCTAGAGCTAGATCTAGAGCTAGATCTAGAGCTAGATCTAGAGCTAGATCTAGAGCCAGAGCCAGAGCTAGATCTAGAGCTAGATCTAGAGCTAGATCTAGAGTTAGATCTAGAGCTAGATCTAGAGCTAGATCTAGAGCTAGAGCTAGAGCTAGAGCTAGAGCTAGAGCTAGAGCTAGATCTAGATCTAGAGCTAGAGCTAGAGCTAGATCTAGAGCCAGAGCTAGATCTAGAGCTAGATCTAGAGCTAGAGCTAGAGCTAGAGCTGGAGCTAGAGCCAGAGCTAGAGCTAGGCAAAATGATTATAATTACTGTTTTTTTGGTGCAAGCGACAAGGATGTAAGGATCTTCAAGTGCTTACACAACAAGCTATCCTTAACGGCAAAAAAGCAAGGCCTCAGCCAGAACCAGTTAGCGGAACAGTTTTCCGTCTTGCAGTCAACCATCTCCAAGTTTCTACAACGATAGTTTTCTACAGCTTTAAGCTCAAAAATTTCATTATCCAGTAGTGTAGTGATTTTTTATCGTAATATCGTTATAGAGAAATTAGACTTTACTTTACTTTACTTTGATTTTTGCTGATTTACGAAAGAGATAAAAAGGTAGATAGATTAGATAAAAGATTACGTAAAAAGGATTATTTAATCGTTCCCTTTTCACTAACATTATCAAAATCAAAAGGGATTTGCGGTCGTGTTAACTCGAACATTCGCATGATTGGAGTACCCGGTTGGAGGAGATCTTTCGGCACGTGATTGCTGTAAAAATAATAGATAATATTAGATAATTAGATAATCTAGATTACCTCTAGATTATCTAGTTAATCTAGATTATCTAGATTATCTAGATTTTCTCCAGATTATTATCTATTTCCCAAAATCTCTTACTACAACTCTTTCCCGACTTGCACCAATTTGCAATCCTCATCGAAGATCACGTGATACGGAAGGAGTGTCGAGAAATCGCTCAACGACATGTGCAACGGCTCACCCTCGCCTAGGATTTTGATAGATAGATAGATAGATAGATAGATAGATAGATAGATAGATAGATAGATAGATAGATAGATAGATAGATAGATAGATAGATAGATAGATAGATAGATAGATAGATAGATAGATAGAAAGATAGATAGATAGAAAGATAGATAGATAGATAGATAGATAGATAGAAAGATAGAAAGATAGATAGATAGAAAGATAGATAGATAGGAAGATAGATAGATAGATAGATAGATAGATAGATAGATAAATTACTATATTCTAGTGCTTTAATAGTATTGTTTTTTGCGATTAATCGATTAAAAATGATGTTTAGCTTAAACTCTACCCTCAACAGCTGAAACTTTCGGGCCAATCATCGCATCTTGAGGCACCTCTTCGCCACGAGTGTTTGAAATAGTCTAAAGGGGATTTGTTAACGCTCATTTCGAATCGATTTCCTAATTGCTTCATTCTTTTATATGTTTTTATCGAATCGAATCATTTTTTTGATTCAATTTTATTCAATTTTGTGAATTTTGTGAATTTTGTGAATTTTTTCATTAATTTATTATCGTTTTCATATTTTCTTTTACTTTTTTTAACTTTAAAAGATGTTTAACGATGTTTTGGATAGGTTAAGTTGAAAGTTTTACTTTATTTCATTGTTACTTTATTGTAAAAAAGCAAATTTTCGATCATTTTTTGTAAGAGAAAGGGAAAAAAAGGGTTTTTTAAAGATAAAGCTAACTTTTAGGTCAATTAGGTAGACTTTTACGGTTAAAATAAACGAGAAATAGTGATTAAAATAGTAAAACGAAAACATTGAAACGTTAAAACATCTTTTAAGAGGTTTTTTTTGTTAAAGAAATACAGAAAAACACTAATCAGAGAGATTCTTCTTTAGAAAAAGATAGAAAGATTTCTTTGCAATTTAATGATTTTCAAAACCAAATTTACCCCATATTCTTCTAGTTTAAAGGTTTCTATTTTACCTTGATGAGGAAAATGACGTGCTCCTCGATTCTCTCTCCGCCACTCGCCGTCTGCACAGAGCGCTGGGTTCTACCAGTGATCGTCAACGAGATCTCGATGTTGAACACGCAACGAGCCACCTCTTTCAGCACTCCTAGACATGGATTTACTTATCTTGATAGCTTGAGAGGGAGAGCTTGAGAGGGGAGCTTGAGAGGGGAGCTTGAGAGGGGAGCTTGAGAGGAGAGCTTGATTGCTATCGACTTCATTCTTTTTTACTTCATTTCTATCTTTGCACACCTTTCACAATCGGGTATAGACCAGGCCGTCCGGTGAAATAATGCAGAGTGATCGTCCCGTCCACGTTCTGCTCGCATCTAGAAAAATTTGCATAAGATTTCTGTATCTACATATTTGAAAATGATTCGACCACGGAATCCATATGAAAAAGTGAATTTTTGAGGATCTACTTTGACCTAAATCGGTCAAAAAATGAAAGCAAATCGAAAAATCAAAAATGTCATCTTATAGATCTCGTCTCAAGCTTTCCGAATCACTATAACACTTGGAGACTTCAATGTATGGTTCCCGATTTAAAGTGCATCAAAGTTGAGGGAAAAATTGGGAACTTGATATTTTTGTTCAGGATCTAAAAGAGCTAGAGTTAGAGCTAGAGTTAGAGCTAGAGTTAGAGCTAGATCTAGAGCTAGAGCTAGAGCTAGAGCTAGGTCTAGAGCTAGAACATCTAATCATTTCAGTAGATAAGTTTTAATCCCAAATCCTCACCGAAAAGACGGGCCCCTCAAATTCGCCTTGTACACAACGTGATCGATAAAGTAGTGCAAAGAGTCTAGACTGTCGAGAAAACCCTGAAAGGTGTAAGTTTAGATTACGGTAAGCTGAATGTCATACTGTAGATATCTTTATCGATCTAACCTTCAAATTCGGGCTCATACTGCGCACCAGCTCGTCCCAGCCCAACTCCATCGTGTAAACGATCAGAAACGTGCCGTACATCTCCCAGACTTGCTCTCGGGAAAGCTCTAAGATTTCAGAGCTGATCTGATACTGTAACGGTGACCCTAAGCTCTTACGGTGACTCTAAGCTCTTACGGTAACGATAAGTCTAATTTCGAATCTGATCTGATTTAATTGGCTTTGTGTTAGGTCTTTGAAACCGGCTTCTGATCTGAATGAGCAATTATAAGACAAGGATGAATCCACCCCCTTTTACAAATGACTTTCGTTGCTGTAACGTCTCATTGCTTTGGTGAACACTTGTTGATTCAGCTAACAATACTCACTCGTAATCGCGCTCACGGAGTCTACCAAGAGATACGTGTCCGAATCATTGTAGTAATGGTTAACGACGTTTTCTTTACCGTTCTCGAAACCAGCTCTTGATCTGAATTTTTTATTATTAAATTAGTGCTTCTTGTCTTGATTTGAGTGTTAAATGTAAAAATGAAGGAATTCTGATCAGAGATCGAGCGTTCGAGCCAAAGCGGCCAAGCCGGCTAGCTCTAGCTCTAGCTCTAGCTCTAGCTCTAGCTCTAGCTCTAGCTCTAGCTCTAGGTCTAGCTCTAGATCTAGCTCTAGCTCTAGATCTAGCTCTAGGTCTAGCTCTAGCTCTAGCTCTAGATCTAGCTCTAGATTCGCCAATTCGCTTGGGTTTGAAGAAAAGAGCAATTATTCTTATTCATAGCTCATTTGGAGTTTGATAATTCGCACAATTGGGCTCTAACTATAACAGTTTTACAGCTAGATTACAGCTTGCTTTAAAAAACCAACTAGATTACACTAGCTATAAGCAAAAGCCTTTTTCCAAACCCAGTCAATTCAGAAGCAAGACCTGAAACCAGGTCTAGGCTGGCTTACGGCTTGGCCTGACTTTACTGCAGCCCGGGGAAGCCTAGACCTAGACAGGCTTTGGCTTTGAATTCTTGATCTTGATCTTGACCTTGTCTTGATCTGCCTTTACTGCAAGCCGGGCTTGGCTAAGCGCTAGGATTACGGTAATGGGATATGAGCTAGACCTAGGCAAGTTATGACTTGATTTGGTCAGCTTTAGATTCTAGATTCTAGACTCTGATTCTAGGCTCTAGATTCTAGGCTCTAGATTCTAGACTCTAGATTCCTGATTCTAGATTCTAGACTCTAGATTCTAGACTCTAGATTCTAGATTCTAGATTCTAGACTCTAGATTCTAGACTCTAGATTCTAGGCTCTAGATTCTAGGCTCTAGATTCTAGATTCTAGATCCCCGATCCCCTTGCCATGACTCACAATATCTGCAACCACAAATCTTCGCCGTATTTCCGTATGATCAGCTGCCGAATCGACTCGTGAATGAAACCAAACTGAAAAAGCTTTAACGCAAAACTCTCCCCCAAAATCTTACCATTTTAGCAAAAGATAGTCAGAATATGGAAATACTTTCAAAATACTTTCAAAAACTTTCAGCAATGGTTGCCAGGGTTTCGCCCGACAAAATCACTAAATGACTAAAATGTGCCGAAATTTCTCACCCCAACGCACGCGAACCTCTTGCATTTTCAATGAATCTTGAAAATTGCATACTTTAAACTAATCGTCATTTGTAAATTTCGTCTTTTTCAAAGCTTTTTTCAGAAATTTATTTAAATCATTAATAGAAAATGGATCTTTTTAAAGGAAAAAGTTCGGAAATCACAAATTTTACACAAAAATTGAAAATTAATAAAGAAAGAACGATGAAATGGGTTTTGGAGAAATAGAAAAGAGTTAGCTTTGTGGAAAAGAGTTGGCTCTTGGAAGTTAGCTCTTGGAAGTTAGCTCTTAGAAGTTAGCTGTTGGAAGTTAGCTCTTGGAAGTTAGCTGTTGGAAGTTAGCTCTTAGAAGTTAGCTGTTGGAAGTTAGCTCTTGGAAGCTAGCTCTTGGAAGTTAGCTGTTGGAAGTTAGCTCTTGGAAGCTAGCTGTTGGAAGTTAGCTCTTGGAAGTTAACGCTGCAAATCGATTTGCAAATTCTTTCATAAGTGAAAGGTTGAGAACCGTATTGGAAACCGTATTAGATCAAAATAGGAGCCGTATTCGAACCGTATTGGAACCCCTAATCAAAATAGGAACCGTATTAGATCATTCTTTTGTCATTCGTTTCTAAAAAGTTGTTTTCCTTTTCATCCAAACATCACAAAGAAATCGCCGACCAATTTCTTCTTTCTGAAATCGTAAAATTCAGTTACCCAACTCGAGCTCTCGTTTGGAAAATTTGGAAAATTTGGAAATGGTCGTCTTTTACGCGGCTCAACTGATTGCAGCATTATACAACAGATAAACAACACCCGGACAACACCCGCACAACACCCGGACAACACCCGGACAACACCCGGACAACACCCGGACAACACCCGGACAACACCCCGATATTGCCAATGGGAAACAATGCCCGCTCGACTTATTTCCTTATTTCCTATGATCTTCACAACGAATACCAACCTAGGCAGACTGAGGGTAGGTAGCGTTGCAGCAGGATTAAGCGAGCTAGCTTTTTTTTATAGATTTTATATTTTATAGATAGATTACTATATTCTAGTGCTTTAATAGTATTGTTTTTTTTTCGATTAATCGATTAAAAATGATGTTTAGCTTAAACTCTACCCTCAACAGCTGAAACTTTCGGGCCAATCATCGCATCTTGAGGCACCTCTTCGCCACGAATGTTTGAAATAGTCTAAAGGGGATTTGTTGCAGCGGTGCAGCCGGATTAAACGAGCTCGCTTTTTTTTTTGATTGTAATCTTGTGGGGAATTAGAGTGTGAAAGCTTGGAAACCGTCAAATAGTCATCAACTCGGCTGGGCGGGGAAAATACTATTAGAGAAAATGAAAGCGGTACTTAGGCGTTGAAAGGATCTGCGTCTTGTGCCCAGTCTTGTGCCCAGTCTTGTGCCCAGCCTTGTGCCCAGTCTTGTGCCCAGTCTTGTGCCCAGTCTTGTGCCCAGACTTGTGCCCAGTCTTGTGCCCAGTCTTGTGCCCAGTCTTGTGCCCAGTCTTGTGCCCAGCCTTGTGCCCAGTCTTGTGCCCAGTCTTGTGCCCAGTCTTGTGCCCAGCCTTGTGCCTCTTTGTTCTTTGTTTCTCCGTCTTGTGCCTCTTTGTTCGATTATCGCACAAAATTCGTCAATCTTCATCAATTCGCCTATTCAAATAAGTCATTAGTATTAGGTAATATTTATTTGGAAACGCACTTCAACAAGCACAAGATCAACGGATTCCGTTGAGCGCTCGAAATTTCTTGCGCTGTAAATTCATTTCACATCCATTCACATCCATTCACTTCCATTCATTTTGAGGCAACGGATAAGCCTCGTTTTTTCATCTTTAAACTCACTTTTTAAGCTTAAAAATCAGCTTTTAAGCTTTTAATGTAAATTTATTGCTTATTAATCCTTAAATAATAGTATATTTATTCAAAAGAAAGTTAAAGATTTCAATTTTTTTAAAAACAAAAAAAAACAAAAGAAAAATTTGCCCGTAATATCTTTGAAGCTTTGGGAAAAGGAAAACAATAATTTAGATAGATTAAATGTGAAATGTCAAAAAAGTTACAGTAATCTGAATGACTGAATGATTCGATCTTTAATTAGATTGACAGCAAATGCGTAAATTTGATACGTTCGTCGGTGTGCACATCGCTTCTGGGCAATCTTTATCGGAAAGGCATCTGGAAACGATTGCAATTATCCCGAATTTGAGCTTTTAAAGCGCCTTTCGATTAGCGTATAGCGAGTACTGTCTGATTACCGTCTGGTTACTGTATGATTACTGTCTGATTACTGTCTGATTACTGTCTGATTACTGTCTGATTACTGTCTGATTACTGTCTGATTACTGTCTGATTACTGTCTGATTACCGTCTGGTTACTGTATGATTACTGTCTGATTATTGTCTGATTACTGTCTGATTACTGTCTGGTTACTGTCTGATTACTGTCTGATTATTGTCTGATTACTGTCTGATTACCGTACCTTGATTAATTAGCGTACTCTTTAGCCTAAAAATTTCAGCATTTAATTTAGAATTCACTAATAATCAAACTCTCAAAAGTAATGTAAGTAGAAAGTTAGCTTTTTTAATGAATAAGGGGATAAAGCCATTCTCTCGCGGAGAGCAATCGATTTCGGTATAGCTCAATGGTAGATTGGTCGCTCGGTAAGCAGGACCTCCCGGGTTCGATCCCGGCCACGACCTCTTTTTGCTTAAAAAAGCAAAAAGGTACTGTGGAATTTTCAGATGAATAAGGGATAAAGCTCAATCTTGACAGCAGTTGCATGCCACTCGAGTAGCTCAGTGGTAGCCCGCCAAGCCGGGACGTTCCGGGTTCGATCCCGGTGCGCCCTTTTTTTACTCGGAAAAGCAAAAAGTACTTTCGAAGTTTGGTTGATGAATAAGGGATAAAGCTCAATCTTGACAAGCAGTCGCTTGCATCTCGACTAGCGACTAGCGTGGTAGTGTGCTCTCCCGCTAAGCGGCAGGCGCCGGGTTCAATCCCGGTGACGGCCTCCTTTTGCTCGGAACACTAATTTATCTTCTCATTTTCACCTAATCTGTTTCCCTTCGCGTAACACCGCTTTCTGTCCACTCTCGGGACATCGAGGAATCGGCGAACAACAGACGAAACGATCGAGATCGGGAGATCGAGTACACTGGAATCAAATATTGAGCGGGTACAGAATGGATCTGGTTTATCGCCGTGATTACCTGAAAGTCTAATGGACAGATGTAACCGGTGTCATCGCAAAAGAGAAGCTTTTCCGTGGATGGGGAAACGTAGAAGACGGCACTGCAAAAGAAAATCAATCATTTACAAGTGTGCGGGAACTTTTTGATTACTCTGTAGTGCTGGATTCGTGGCTCTGGTACTAGTAAATACTAGATTTTAAGTACTTTAAGGATACGGATATCCTTAAAGTACTTGACTGATACTGACGAAAGCAGTGGCCTTCAACTTACCACAAAGTACAGTACTCTGTCCTACAGTACTCTGTCCTACAGTACCCTGTCCTACAGTACCCTGTCCTACAGTACCCTGTCCTACAGTACCCTGTCCTACAGTACCCTGTCCTACAGTACCCTGTCCTACAGTACCCTGTCCTACAGTACCCTGTCCTACAGTACCCTGTCCTACAGTACCCTGTCCTACAGTACCCTGTCCTACAGTACCCTGTCCTACAGTACCCTGTCCTACAGTACCCTGTCCTACAGTACTCTGTCCTACAGTACCCTGTCCTACAGTACTCTGTCCTACAGTACTCTGTCCTACAGTACTCTGTCCTACAGTACTCTGTCCTACAGTACTCTGTCCTACAGTACCCTGTCCTACCATACAGTACTCTGACGAATTTCCAACCTTTACAATAGTACAATAGTGAGTCTCCTTTACTGATTAGAAAAAAACTTTTCACTCACCGGTTTTCTCCACAAATTTCCGTTTGATTTGTGATTGTTTTCTGACAACAAATTGATCTTTTTGTAGTGGTTTTTGTTGAACATTCGAAGCCTCGATCACACAACGATTCATCCTAAAGTTAATCTAATAAATTGATGTGGAATTTGTAGAAAAAGAAACACGAAAATGATTTGGAAAGAAGAACTAATTTTGGGATCTAATTTTATGATTTCTTCAAAAAAAATCTTGAAAAAAGCTTGTGATTTCGTTGAAATTTGATGAAAATTTTAAACATTTCAAAGATTTAAAAGATGTAAAACGTTTTAAACGCTTTTTAAACATTTTAAACACATTTTAAACCCATTTTAAATATATTTCAAACATTTCAAACACCTTCTAAACATTTTAAACACACTTTAAACAAATTTCAAACATTTTAAACACCTCTTCAACGCATTTTAAACATTTAAAACACCTTTTAAACGCATTTAAAATGTTTTAAACCCATTTTAAACATATTTAAAACATTTCAAACACCTTTTCAACGCATTTTAAACATTTAAAACACCTTTTAAACGCATTTAAAATGTTTTAAACACCTTCTAAACACATTTAAAACATTTCAAACACCTTCTAAACACATTTTAAACGTTTTAAACACATTTTAAATATGCTTAAAACATTTTAAACACCTTCTAAACACTTTAAACACACTTTAAACACATTTCAAACATTTCAAACACCTTTTCAACACATTTGAAACATATTTAAAACATATTTAAAGCATTTGAAAGGCATTTTAAACGTTTTGAACATTTTTTCAACACATTTTAAACATTTTAAACACCTTTTAAACGTTTTAAACACCTTTAAAACATATTTTTAACATTTGGAACACATTTTAAATCTAATGTAACCATTTTTTTTGACTAATTTTATGCTTAAAATTCTTTCCACACTAGTTTCTTTTAAAAAAAAAACACGAGAAAAACTAGGGATTCTAGTAGACTAGAAGCTTTGTTTCTGATTCCTGGAACCTGGGACCTGCCGCTTAACGGGCGAGCACACCACCACTGAGCTACTCGAGTCCCATGCAACCGCTGTTCGGATTAAGCTTTGTTTCGAATTCTCTAAGCACTGACCACAATACAGGACACTGGACGACCTTGGATCATTTGCGTTTCTCTATTCGTGCAACGTGTTACCACTGGAACTTTTGTCGCACAGCAGAGAGAAATGCCTAGAAGAGATCAAAAAGTTTGCCTGCTTGTGAGAAACTCACGCGGAATATTGGCTGATCGCTGGCATTGCGAGTTCTCTCCGCAGTCTCCATCATTTTGACAAGTTCTAAAGGTTTATAGGAATGTAAAAAGCCAAAATGACATCGACAATGGGCTATTCGACGCAGAATTTCACGCTGAATCGAAATCTCTTTCCCGTTTCTGGTATAGAGCACTCTGTCAAAAGTTATAAGCGGGCAAAGTTTTGATTGATGTTTAGATGATAGTTTTGATGATTGCTGATGATTTTTGATGATTTTTGATGATTGCTGATGATTTTTGATGATGGCTGATGATTTTTAAAGACTTTAATGATTTTTAATGATTTTTGATGATTTAATGATAGTTTTTTGATTTATAAGCATTTATAATGTGGATTTGCTTGCGGTAGCTAAATGGTAATGTGTTAGAATCCAAAGGAAAACCTCCACTCCATCAAAAACTCTTTTCTTTTGCTTTCTTCGCTTCATAAATCCAATTCTTCTCTATTTTTAGATAAAATTTTCTCTTAAATTACTTCTCATAAAAGATTTTCTTTTCTTTTAATTAGTTATTATTAAACAGAGCCAAATTAACATCAAAAAACTATCAAATCAACTATCAAAACTTTACAAGCTTATAACTTTTGATAGAGTGCTTCAAATTAGAAACGGAAAGGAGATTTGGATTCAGCGTGAAATTCTGAGTCAAATGAAGCCATCATTTAGCTATTCTACTCAGTTGTAATTCCATTTTTGGGTATCAATCTTAGCCAACCTGCCCATTTTCGCTAAAGAAACTCCGGACGGGCAAACGGCTCGCTGACAACAGAAAGAAGAATTTGAATGGAAAGGTGATTGAAGACAGGAGTTTGGCTGAAAATGGGTTACGATTCTAGTTCTAGTCAATAAATCTTAACAAATGGCCATCATCTGGACTAAAGTTTCATTTCCAGAGTAGTTCTGAGTCGAGATCAATCGGGGATGGTCTAGATCTAGATCTAGATCTGGTCTAGATCTAGATCTGATCTAGATCTAGATCTGATCTAGATCTGGTCTAGATCTGATCTAGATCTGGTCTAGATCTGATCTAGATCTGGTCTAGATCTGATCTAGATCTGGTCTAGATCTGATCTAGATCTGGTCTAGATCTGATCTAGATCTAGATCTGGTCCAGATCTAGATCTAGATCTGGTCTAGATCTAGATCTAGATCTGGTCTAGATCTAGATCTAGATCTGGTCTAGATCTAGATCTAGACCAGATCTAGATCTAGACCATCCCCGATTGATCTCGACTCAGATCAGATCAGATCTAGATCTGATTCGTGTTTTTGAATAAGATTCGAGCAAAAGGCACCGTTTTTTATTGAAATATCATATTTGCCTAATGTAGATACCAAAATAGAAGACGATTTTAAACATTAGAACAAGCCCAGTCGCCTTACCTTTTTGCAATCCCGATCATCACCGCATTTGATCGGATCACCGCCGTTCAATTGAGCAATCGTGCCCACTCCGCAAACCCATTGCGAGTCGTTCGTCCCGCTTTTCTCGATTCGTTTACTCGACGCGATTCGAGCTCTAGAATCGGATTTTTTAGAGACAAAATGCTTTGAATCATTTGAATCTGTTTAAAAACAGATTCAAATGATCTTCACTCAGATTCAAATGAAGCCTCACTCACCGCCTAACCCTACAGCATAAATTACGCCCTGAAGTGTTTTGTTGACACAAATACGATGAGGGACAAGTCGATTGAACACCCACATCACTGCAGTATTGCACCTGATAAAGGGAAAGTTTTAACTACAGCGTGGTTGATAGTGTGGTTGATAATATGGCTGATAATGTAGCTGATAATGTGGTTGATAATGTAGCTGATATTGTAGCTATTTCTGAGAATGTGCGCGTGATTTGCCTAGTTAACTAGTTAAGTAGTTACTTAGGTAAGTAGTTAACTAGGTGAGTAGTTACCTAGGTGAGTAGTTACCTAGGTAAGTAGTTGCCTAGGTAAGTAGTTACCTAGGTAAGTAGTTAACTAGGTGAGTAGTTACTTAGGTAAGTAGTTACTTAGGTAAGTAGTTACCTAGGTAAGTAGTTACTTAGGTAAGTAGTTAACTAGGTGAGTAGTTACCTAGGTAAGTAGTTACCTAGGTAAGTAGTTACCTAGGTAAGTAGTTGCCTAGTTAAATACTTAAATAGTTAACTATTTAACTATAACTATCAACTAACTGTTTAACTAATAAAAAAATTATTCAAAACAAACACTTGTCCCGACGAAAGCCGGCTGCGAACCGTCCGAGCACAGTAAACTGCTGTCCCTAAAAATGTTTAAGTGCACTAGAAAGGGTTCGTTTAAGTACAAAGTACACTGTTTGAAAGATAGAAAAAAGCCACCGTACTCCGGTTGCCTTTAGACAGGTTACGAAAGCTTTTTGATGAGAATATATGCTTTAGAATTACAGTAGCTTTTGGCTAAATGACACGTTTAGACACGGATTTGGGATTACGATAGCTTTTGCTAAAAGAAACTTTTAGAAAACGAGGTGATGGTAGCTTTTTTTTAAAAGCCATGTTTTGGAAAACGTTTTAGACAAGGATTTAAGTTTACGGTAGCTAAGGAACGTGCTTTAGACGTGAGATCGGGATTACGGTAGCTTTGAAGAAGTTGACTAGCGAGTCCTGTAAGCTAAAGTAAACTGAAACTCACCTCGACAATGGAAAAGGAATATTGGTGCAGCAAATCGTGATCGATGGCTAAATGCATAAATATAGATAAAGATTGAAGTTTAAATGCAAATTTCGACAAACCACAGTCGATTGTTGACACGTGTAAGAGGGTGGACATTGATTGAGTCGTTGTGAAGAACATAAACGTGGTTGATTGTTCATTAGTAGCGGTTGCCCAGTGATACAACGAAGTGTAGTGGCCAATCTGGAACTGAATTTTACAGGGATATGCAGGGATATGCAGGGAGATCAAGGGGAATCTTTGTCGAGATTTATGTAGTAGGTTTTCAAGCCTGGATTACGGTAGTCTAGATTCAGTCTGGATTACGGTAGTCTGGATTCAGTCTGGATCAGTTTACAGCAATCCAGCACTGTATGAGTCGACTGCACTTTGTGCTCTCGGAAACGCATGGTCTTTAACACGTTGAGTTTACGGTATTAAAGGATTAGGCTCTAGGCTCTAGTAAACCTAGTAAACACCTAGTAAAGGCTCTAGTAAACCTGCTGTGTTTCTGAGGGTACAAAGTACAGACTCGGCTTTGAGAACCTACCTGCAACAAGCGAATGACGAAGTACCGCCAAGAAACGAGTTTGTCGTCGGAGTACAAGAGTAGCCGGTTGGACAACTAAATAATTCTTTGTGATGTCTTAGACATGCTTTAAAGTTGAGATTCTAGAGATTCTAGATGTTCTAGATGTTCTAGATGTTCTAGATGTTCTAGATATTCTAGACATTCTAAATCTGCTTTAGAAATTACCTCATATCAAAGGGCCCAGTGCACATGCGACTCTCACCAGTGACTTCATTTCGATAGCCATTCCAACCGCTTGGGCATTGATTCTGAAAAGTTTTTTTTTAGCTGTGACCCTCAAAATATAGTAAAGATTAAATTAAAAAACATCTCGGTTGAATATAGAATCTAGCCAAGCATATCTAGCCAGCCAAGCATCAGCTCATCAACCAAGCATCAACTTATAACCAACCAATGGAGAGATTGTTGTGACGATCGTTCGGCAACAGACGTAGGTGCCTGAAGTTGATTCTTGGATTGATAAGTACTGTAAGTTGCTTGTAGGGATGGTTCCTACTGTAGGTACAGATCTGACAGTAGATACAGATCTTACTGTAGGTAGAGATCTTCTGTAGGTACTGTAGGTAGAGATTCTGTAGGTACAGATCTTCTGTAGGTAGAGATCTGACAGTAGCTACGGATCTGACAGTAGGTACAGATCTTCTGTAAGCACAGATCTGACAGTAGGTACAGATCTTCTGTAAGCACAGATCTTACAGTAGGCAGAGCTCTTCTGTAGGCACAGATCTTACTGTGCAACAATTACAGTATAGTAAGAAGGATGAGTTTTTCTATCGTATACAGATTACAATCTTTCCCAGCAAAGCTTTTTATATTCAAACTTTTAGCCTCATCTTTCATTCAAACATTCAATCTTTCATTTTTCATCAAATCTCACGAAAAAATAACGATCCAGTGCACTAGAAGGGATTTGTTTACAATGAACACAAATTACAGATCAAGCCTATCCACTCACCCAAAACGCTGCTTTGTGCACAATCGTAGCCGATTGGGCAACCGGTGGGAACTTGAAGCGGACTACAGGAATATGTTGAACCGGAGATCTAAAGAATGGCAAAATGGCAAATTTTTACGATTTTACAGAGTAATTATTCGAATTTATTTTTTATTTTTCTTTTTTTATCGCTATTTTACATTAGGAATTTGCATTTGAAATGTGCAAAAATCAAAAATTTGCAATCTTTTTGCTATTTGCAATCTAAAGATCGCTCTTTAAGTGAAATAAATATGGAATTAGAGACATATATTAGAGCTTTGTTTAGAAGATTTATAATATTATATGATTTTTATGATGATTTTTTTTACCTGTTGATAGGTCTCTCGTCCGTCGGCACAAACAGCAACTTGTGTACTCACACCACAACAGTAATATTGAGCGAGCACTGGGGATAAAGTGCAAATGTAGTTCGGCTAGAAATGGCTAGATGACTTTTGATTGGCTGTTAGTCTAGGTCTAAGGGAGTCTAGGGGAGTCTAAGGGAGTCTAAGGGAGTCTAAGGGAGTCTAAGGCAGTCTAAGGAAGTCTAAGGGAGTCTAAGGGAGTCTAAGGGAGTCTAAGGAAGTCTAAGGCAGTCTAAGGCAGTCTACGGCAGTCCACGGCAGTCTAAGGGAGTCTAAGGCAGTCTAAGGGAGTCTAAGGGAGTCTAAGGCAGTCTACGGCAGTCTAAGGGAGTCTAAGGGAGTCTAAGGGAGTCTAAGGGAGTCTAAGGCAGTCTACCGCAGTCTAAGCCAGTCTAAGGCAGTCTAAGGCAGTCTACGGCAGTCTAAGGCAGTCTAAGCCAGTCTAAGGCAGTCTACGGCAGTCTAAGGCAGTCTAAGCCAGTCTAAGGGAGTCTAAGGCAGTCTACGGCAGTCTAAGGCAGTCTAAGGCAGTCTAAGGCAGTCTAAGCCAGTCTAAGGGAGTCTAAGGCAGTCTACGGCAGTCTAAGGGAGTCTAAGGCAGTCTAAGGCAGTCTACGGCAGTCTAAGCCAGTCTAAGGCAGTCTACGGCAGTCTAAGGCAGTCTAAGCCAGTCTAAGGCAGTCTATGGCAATTTTTCTGAACCAGGTCAGAAGCAAACCCTGTCAGCCGTCAAAAATGCACAGTAATCCCCGGGCCTGACTTCTCTATTATATTGGATTGATGAGTATGAAATGACGATGACGAAATTTCGCTGGAACACCGAAACTCACTTGACTACAAGGCGCTCCCGGTCCAGTGCACGAAACGAGATTCCCATTTGGACCCAACAACGCACTTTGCCCATTTGGACAAACTCGAGGCGCTATTGTGGACCTGGAAAAGTGAGAATTCTAGAATTAGCTCGAACTCTATAAAGAAGGAAAGGAATACTAGGGAAAGGCATGAACTCAAGCTTTGGTCTGGATCATCACCTACTTTAAATCGGATATGAGGAATCCGAATCTGAAATCACAATCTCCCAAATTTTCCTACTACAAAATCCTAGAAGTTCAAAAGAAAAAGAAAAACAAAAAGTTGCCGGAGGAGCCGAACCCTGATCTCGTGGGCTGAAGCCGAAAGTCTTATCCACTAGGCCACCACCATACCCTACCCACCACGATCGAAAATCGGTAAAAACCAATCGAAAACTTCAATCGAAAGCGTTGCTTTAAAAGTCGGATGCTTTAAAAGGCTCCTTCACTCTCCGAGTCGGACTGCGGTCGTGGCCTAATGGATAACCCGATAGGCTTCAGACCAAAAGACCAGGGTTCGGTTCCTGATGCAGCTTTTTGTTTTCATTTTTCTTTTCCATCAACTTCCCACATTTTACAGTTAATTGCATTATGGTTTAGCTTTTAATTTCTTCGATATTCATGCCTTTTCCTAGTCAGAAAAATAAGAAAATTAAGAAAAGTAAGAAATTAACAGTAAAAACTCTAAAGAAATGGCTACATTCGAAAGTTTTGATGTCGAAATTTGAAAGAAAGAAAGAAAGAAAGAAAGAAAGAAAGAAAGACAAGTTCAGCTCTTTAGTAAGTTTGCCTTTTTTTTATTAGCACCTGCAACACAAGAAAAACGCGGGATTATTCGGCGATTGGAGACACTGCGATCCGCCTGGGCAACCGGCTGTATTTGTTGGTGTGCAGAAGATCTAGAAAACAAATCACAAAACAACGAAAAAACCAAGTCCAATACCTGGTTTCCAAGATTGTCCAAACTGGGGCTGAAATTCGCGGGACAAGTCGATATGCCAGCAGCACTGCAACAGATAAATGTTCCAGCCATATTCGCCGCTTGGGTACACGTGAAACCCGTCGAGCACCCGGAAATTATTGACGGATTGCAGAAAGTTGGCTGACCGTTTGTCTAAAGTCGTTTGTCTTTGAATTTTTCAAGCAATTCAAATTATTTCCCTAGCAAATCTCACCAATTGAACAGTTTGCTGATTTGGGCAAATCGGACTGCTCGGGTTTGTGCCCGGCGCACAGCAGAGAGTTGTCTGAAAATCGTTCGACGCGCGGACACACGTGAATCTACAAAATAAAAATTACAGAGGACAGGACAGGCTTTCAAATGAGATCAAATAGAGGTTGATTGGATAAATGAGTCCAAAGAAATCAGAGCCAACTCCGAGCAAATGAAGCCCATTCGACTCGAGGAGCGAACGAGTCGTCACCCTTTGAAGGCCTATAACTTTGTCCAGAGATTATATTATTCTTAACTTTTTGTATCTTTGAATAGTGGAGATTTCAGGCTTTTTAATGAGATCAAATAGAGGTTGATTGGATAAATGAGTCCAAAGAAATCAGAGCCAACTCCGAGACCAATCCAACTCTGGTCTCGTGTCGCCTCGTTGCATGGAAATGAAAAAAGCCAGTTAAGCTCTATTTGGTATCATTTGAAAGCCTGAAATCTCCTCTATTCAACGATAGAAAAATTTAGCAAAAATATAATCTCTAGACAAAGTTATAGGCTTTCAAAGTGAGATGACTCGTTCAAAAGACCCTTCCAAAAGACCTGGGTTCTTTCAAAAGACCTGGGTTCTTTCAAAAGACCTGGGTTCTTTCAAAAGACCCGGGTTCTTTCAAAAGACCTGGGTTCTTTCAAAAGACCCGGGTTCTTTCAAAAGACCCGGGTTCTTTCAAAAGACCCGTATTCTTTCAAAAGACCCGGAAATTAGAGCCAAACTTACTGAAGTGCTATTATATTCTATTTTAAAATGTTTCTTATCTAAATTCAAGGTACCCAGTGTTGCAAATCGGATTCGTGATATCACAAGCGACAAAGCTGCCGCCAAGACTCGGCTGCGGTTGGCCGTTGTTCGGGCAAATCGGCTGAAAAGGTGCACAAAGATTTTGATATAATACGGTTACGAGTGACGATAGCTGTCTACTGCTTTCAACTTTTCTGTTCAGATACAATCTCAAAATCTCTTGTGACATCCAGGATTTACATTTTGACGTTTTAAAGCTGGGTCTCCTCTAGGATTATGGTAGATAAGCTGCTGTAGACGTTACGGGTGACGATAGCTGTCTACTGCTTTCAACTTTTCTGTTCAGAAACAATCTCAAAATCTTCTGTGACATCCAGAATCTACATTTTGACGTTTTTAAGCTAAGTCACCTCTAGGATTATGGTAGATAAGCTGCTGTAGACGTTACGGGTGACGATAGCTTCTACTGCTTTCAACTTTTCTGTTCAGAAACAATCTCAAAATCTTCTGTGACATCCAGAATCTACATTTTGACGTTTTTAAGCTAAGTCACCTCTAGGATTTTGGTAGCTAGGCGCTAACGAGGTTACAGTATTCGAGTTTTCATTTATCCAAAAGATGAATATCCTTTTTTGTGTGTGAAATAAACAACAATATGGCTTTATGGTTTTACTTGGACATTGGTCGGCGAGCTGAAGCAGCAAATGAGCAATCCTTGACTGTTCGCTGCCGAAACGCATAAAGAACTGGAAATTTTTTTTTGCTTATTTCTAAATTTATTGGATTTACGAAAGAAATATGTAAATTTTAAATAAATTTAAACAAAACTAGCATAATTTTCGTTTGTTTTGGTTTGTTTTACTTAAAGGGGGGTATTAATCGCGGCCGGGTGACAATAAAAATTTTTTTACGGCGACCACCTGTTTTTTTATTTTAATATCGCTGATTTTATTATAAAAAGAATAAAAATCACCCCGGCTAGAGTGATTTGATGGGTTTACAAGATTTTTGGAGACACTGCAAGGCTTGGAGAAAAACAAAATCGTCACTCATCAGACACCTCAGCTAAAAGGCACCTATTAGGTTGATGCATAAGTGTTTTCGTTCCTTTTCGTCTGCCGTTTCAAGCCAACAAATGCACCAATTAAACTACGGTTGATTTCATTAGAAAAACCAATTATTTTTCTGCAAAATAACATTAAGTTGTTGATCTAGTTCTTCATCAAATTCTTCATCTAGTTCTCCAGCTAGCTCTTCATCTAGTTGCTAAATCTAGTTCATCTAGTTCTCCATCTAGTTCTTCATCTAGTTGTTGATCTGGTTCTTCATCTAGTTCATCTAGTTCTTCATCTAGTTTTTCATCTAGTTCTTCATCTAGTTCATCTAGTTCTTCATCAAATTCTTCATCAAGTTCCCCATTTAGTTCTTCATCTAGTTGTTAATCTAGTTCTTCATCTAGTTCATCTAGTTCTCCATCTAGTTCTTCATCTAGTTGTTGATCTGGTTCTTCATCTAGTTCTTCATCTAGTTGTTGATCTGGTTCTTCATCTAGTTCCTCATCTAGTTCATCTAATAGGTTGATGCATAAGTGTCTTCGTTCCTTTTCGTCTGCCGTTTCAAGCCAACAAATGCACGAATTAAACTACGGTTGATTTCATTAGAAAAAGCAATTATTTTTCTGCAAAATAACATTAAAACGGGTTTAAAAATATTGAATGCCTGGATTTTCTTGAGAGTATGAAGTCGGGTAGTCAAAAAGGGCTAACTCGATGATGCGGTTTAGACACCTTAGCTAAAGAAAACCTATCTTCGTGTCAATAGATAAAAGATAGAGAAAACAAAACGTTTGATATTTCGCCAAAATTTCAGAGAAATTCATTCAGCCAATTTTTCCGTAGAGTTTTTTATAGATTTTTACGAAAAAGGCGTTTTTCACTCTCGAATTTGCTTGAAAGTGAACCGAAATTCATTTAAAAAGATGCAAATTGAACAAAAAAACACTTTTTTTATAGAGCAAACTATAGATTAATTGGTGAATTTGTTACTTTTTAACAGAAGTACGAAAAAAACGAAAACACTTATGCATCAACCTATTATTTGAGAAAACTAAAACCACAAGCGACCACAAATGGAAAAAAGATCTAATTGTGTCAATCAAAGCGCTGAAGACGTCCTACGGCAATAAATTGTTAATCTATAATTCTTCCTCTTGCTCACTTTCATCGTCGCTCAAGTACAGCAGTTCCTCAAATCGGCTTCCTATCTTATCAATTTCCAGCGCATCTTCACCAGAAGTGACTGGATCTCCTCCACCGTAGGACGTCTTCGCTAGGACGTCAGCGCTTTGATTAACACAATTAGATCTTTTTTCCATTTGTGGGCGCTTGTGGTTTTGGTTTTCTCAAATAGATGCCTTTTAGCTGAGGTGTCTGATGAGTGATGATCTTGTTTTTCTCCAAGCCTTGCAGTGTCTCCAAAAATTTGTAAACCCATCAAATCACTCTAGCCGGGGTGATTTTTATTCTTTTTATAATCAAATCAGCGATATTAAAATAAAAAAAAGGTGGTCGCCGTAAAAAAAAAAAATTTTTGATCGTCACCCGGCCGCGATTAATACCCCCCGATTAATACCCCCCGATTAATACCCCCCGATTAATACCCCCCGATTAATACCCCCCGATTAATACCCCCCGATTAATACCCCCCGATTAATACCCCCCGATTAATACCGATTAATAATATATATTAATATTAAAGGGGGGGGGGGGCTTTAAGTAAAACAAACGAAAACAAACGAAAACAAACGAAAACAAACGAAAACAAACGAAAACAAACGAAAACAAACGAAAACAAACGAAAACAAACCAAAACAAACCAAAATAAACCAAAATAAACCAAAATTAAGCTAGTTTTGTTTAAATTTTTAAACCGGCCGCGATTAATACCCCCCTTTAAAGTTTTCTTTTCCAAGTGGTAAAAATCGAGAAAAGTTGATCATTTTTGATGTTTTAAGTTTAGTTTCGTGTTTTTAAAGCTTTGCATTTAAGTTTTCTTAGATATTTCTTAGATATTTAGAGGGTTTTTTTGATATTTTAAAGATGAATTACAGTACTTGATTGGGCAAACGTCTCTTTGTCCGGCATTACTGCAGAAAACGTTGTTCCCTTGCTGAGAAACGACTGGCGTTTGACCGATTTGTGGACACGTGAATTGAAGCTGAAAAATTTGAAAAGCTTCAGTTTTTAATGATCTTTTTAAATATCAATTACTATTTTTATAAGTTTATACAATTTTGGATCTAGATTTCGATTTGAAAATAATCCTTTTTTTGTAAAACATTCACGACGATTTAAAGGAAAGAAGAAGGAAAGAAGGGAAGAAGGAAAGATACGGAGAAAGAAGAAGGGAAGAAGGGAAGAAGGGAAGGAGAAGGAAAGAAGGGAAGGAGAAGGGAAGAAGGGAAGAAGGAAAGATACGGAGAAAGAAGAAGGGAAGAAGGGAAGGAGAAGGAAAGAAGGGAAGAGGAAGGGAAGAAGGGAAGAAGGAAAGATACGGAGAAAGAAGAAGGGAAGAAGGAAAGAAGGGAAGGAGAAGGAAAGAAGGGAAGAAGAAGGAAAGAAGGAAAGAAGAAAGGAAGAACGATAATGATGACTATTTTTAGAGGACATTTAGAGGTATCGAATCACTAGAATAGTTTTGTTTAGTTTTAAATTCACACTAAATTATCTGGGAAACAGTAACAACTACGCGATACGCTAAATGCCATCAAAAGCAGACTTCAAAAATACCTGTGCTGGTTGCTGGGCGCGTACTGTAGTCGAGCAGCAGAGCATGTGCTTACGGAGGTATGAAAGCTGGCAAGTGTACCTGGAAATAGCTTTTCACTTCTGGAATGACTTTTGGTGTTCTCTAAATTGGACTCTAGATTCGAGCTAAGCAAGATCGGCGCTGGATTCAGGCCTGGGATATCAAAATAAGTGCCTGGTTAGTGTATGAATCGGGTCTTAGGTCAGGCCAAGCCAGGCCAAGCCAGGCCAAGACAAGCCAGGCCTAGCCAAGCCAGGGAAAGCCAAAAGCCAAGCCAGGCCAAGCCAAGCCAGGTTCAGCTCTAGCTACTGGCGTGGATCAGATCTGCAGCACCTAGGCCAGGGTCCAGGTCCAGGTCTAGCCTGGACGCAAGTCTCGGGGATCTTTATGGTTCAGTCTACAGTCAACCGACCCAGCCACTTTTCCTATCAGTTTCACTGCTGACAATGTTTTAATAGAATAGTCGCAAAAATACGATCTATGGCCAAAATTTAGCCCAACTTTAAAGGCTCATAACTTCATCCAAAAATCATATCATTATGAACTTTTTATATCGTTAGATAGAGGAGATCTCAGGCTTTCGAATAATACCAGAAATGGCTTGATTGAACTAAGAGATCATAGGGAAATTGATCAGAAATCATTGATCAAAGAGAAACAAATCGTTGATTCCAAGAATTTGAGCATAAGGACGCTCAAAAAGATGCTCAAAAAGCTGCTCAAAAGATTTGATTAATCAAAAGTTCTTGCAAGATTCTTTCTTAATAGCTTTCTTAATAGCTTAATAACAAACCATAGCAAAATGAAGCCAGCTAGAAGCATTCTTAAATTGATTACATAGTAGATGAATCAATCAATCAATGGAATGATTTTCTAGTGATAGACTGGCCCCTTTTTCGTCTCTTTTGAAAGAAAGTGTCCATTCTTGAGGGATTAGAAAGAAAGGAAGAAAGAAAGAAAGAGAGGAAGAAAGAAAGAAAGGAATTAACAGTCTTTTCTTCTTTTCCCATTAAAGCCTACGTCTAAATAGTCCCAACACTGATCGAACTGGACACGTTGAGAACAAAAGTGAAAAGCTAGGAATGGAATTCAATCTAGAATCTAGAATCTAGGATCTAGAATGTAGAATCTAGAATGTAGAATCTAGAATCTAGAATCTAGAATCTAGAATCTAGTATCTAGAATCTAGAATCTAGAATGTAGAATCTAGAATGTAGAATCTAGAATCTAGAATCTAGAATCTAGAATCTAAACTAGAATCTAAATGAAATCTAGAATCTAGAATCTAGAATCTAGAATCTAGAAGCTAGAATCTAGAATCTAGAATGTAGAATCTAGAATGTAGAATCTAGAATGTAGAATCTATTAGGTTGATGCAAAAGTCTTTTTCATTTTTTTCGTACTTCCGTTAAAAAGTAACAAATGCACCAATTGAACAACGGTTTATTGCATTCGAAAGGCCAATTATTTTTCTGCAAAATGACATTAAAACGAGTTTAAAATGTCTTATGTCTAGATTTTTTTGAGAGCCTGAAGTCGGGTAGTCAAAAAAGGCGACGGCATTTTAGACGCTTTAGCTAAGGAAACCAATCTTGATGTTAATAAATAAAAGATAGAGCACAAAAAGTTAGATATTTTTTCAGATTTTCCGGAGAAATTGATTCAGCCAATTTCTTTATAGAGGTTTTTATAGATTTTTATGAAAAACCCGTTTTCACTCTCGAATTTGCTTGAAAGTGAACCCAAATTGACTTAAAAAGATGGGAAATTCAACAATAAACACTTTTCATTTAGAGCAAACCATAGGTTAATTGATGACTTTGTTATTTTTCAAAAGAAGTACGAAAAAAATGAAAAAGACTTTTGCATCAACCTAATAGTATCTAGAATCTAGAATCTAGAATGTAGAATCTAGAATGTAGAATCTAACTTATTACAGCAATTTCACCGTACTTTACTTACCTTTATCCTTATCAATTATTATTTTAATTAAAAAGAATCGATTAACAACAAGACTCACCCATCCGAACACTCAGGACTATAGGCAGAGCATCGCCTTGGTGCCCCGTTGATCAATTCAAT